GTTGGCCAACTGTGGGACAGTTGGTCGATGGTTGGTTGGAGCCTCCACAACCAACCAACCGTTGTCCAACTGTATATCTCGTAGTTGGGCCAACCAATATTTACAACTGTGGACCAACATTGGTTCATTGTTAATGAAATACATTAATATGCATTGCTGGATATCATACATCAAGCCAATCGTTGTCCAACCGTTTTTCACTCCGTTGGACCAACAAAAGATACTTTTGTTGGACCAACGATGGTCCATAGTTGAGTTTACACGACTTTCATTCTCTGGGTCTAGCTTTCACAACATAATTATAATAAAATATCTGGTTTTACAATACCTTTATCAGTTCCAAAAGTTTCCAAAAGTTTTTGGAACTGATAAAGGTATTGTAAAACCAGATATTTTATATATTACATTTCCGGGGCTACAACAATAAATTTTAATAATTATAATAATGCAAATATTTTTTAAATTAATATTCTTTAACTTATTTGCAACAATTTAAGGGGAAAGAGTAATTAATCATATAACAGGCAATTATAATAGCATTAATAATCTAACGGTAATTAATTAATCTATATTCAAATACCAGTATCCTCTCTAACTCCAAAAAAAAAAAAAAAAAAAAAAAAAAAAAAACTACTTTTGATGCCTTAACAGATTAACAGAATCATATTATACTGTGTAGTATCAAAAATGTTTAAAGTATTGCGACCATTGCAACTGTCCGGCTACTCTTTCACCACTTGAAAACTCTCTATATTAACAATCACAGATAGCTCAGTGGTAAAGTAAGAGGCTCATAAGTCGAAGGACCCGGGTTCGAGACCCGTCTGGGCCAAACAATTTTGTTCTAGCTTTTTTTCAAAATTTGTTTTTATGAACTATTTAATCAATTTACTCAACTAATAATTATGCTTTTCGTACTAAATCTTTATTATTTTGTGTGAAATAAAACGGTTGGACAATGGTTGGCTGGAAAACAGTTTAAAGAGGTGACATTTCTACCGTTGGCCAACTGTGTGGCTCCACTGACCCTCTGTCTGCATGGGATTGGCCCGGGGCTTAGGCCATTGGAAAGTCCCCACCCCCCAGCCCGACGGAATATCAGAAGACAGGTCCCATCCCATCACACAGAGTATAAACAAAAGAAAGATTAAACAGAATGCAGATACATCGTATAAATATTACGAATGTAATTTATAATTTTGTAATTTATATGTATGTGCATTCTTCCTTTGATACAATAAACAATTATTTTTAATTATAACCAAAAGCTACCTTTGTTTCAGTTTTCAATCAAATTAATTTGAGCTAAAAACTGGGAGCATTCATTGAATGAGTTCAATTTACCACAATTTTTGGGTTCACTTGACTACCTGGGATTACTGTGGACTTTTTTGTACAATTTAGATACAAAAATATTCCAATTTGTGCATGTCTGGGGCAAAATCGTGAAGACTAAGTTAACATTTAACAGGAGTGCAGATTGATGATAGCTTGGACACTAAAACAAAAAATACTAAGACTGTAGTTACATTTTAGTATTCATGCTGAAGTACCAAAGGCTACAATTTTGTATGGAAATGAGTTCTACTTACCATTTTAAAAATGCTGTATTTGGATGATAGGTTATAAAAACACCTTTATTAAATGAACATTAGAAAAAATTCAGACTTCTTTGCAATTTATTCTTGACGATCTGATAGTCCCTACGATTTCTAGCTCAAGTGTTTCTCTTATCATACGACTGCCAATAATCAGTCTTACAACCTACAGTTACCATCAAATTGTCTTCTTAGCTTTGTTTATATAAATACATAATCAATATATATTCACTAATAATATAAAAGTTGAATCCTTTAGCACAAAGTGACAAAATAAATATGTGGCACAGGCACAAATTGTTAATTTGCTAAAACGTTACCTAGTCGTCAACAATTAACATTATATCTCCCATCATCATCCAATAACACAAAAATAAAATTTATATATTATGAAAATTCTTTGTAAACTTTTGAAAATAATATGATTGGGAAAGATCTTTTTTGAAAATTATGTATTATACATGAAACATTAAGAGGTTCATTAAGAAACTATAATGAGAAATAATTTATATGGCAAAATAAATTTACTTTTTCGTTTTTTTATCCCCAGAGGCCAAAACCACCATGTGTGTGTGTGTGTTTTTGTACAATTTATATATAATTACAGAGAAAACTGAAGAAAAATTGTAAATTTAAGAATTCCATATTCTTATGGAGAACTAGCTGTTTCCTGAAGGCTTCGACTGTCTTAACTGTCAGGGCAGAGCCCTAGTAGAGTATTAAAATAAAAGATGCCTATGTCCTTTAAGCCTGTGGTAATAATGGCTCTACTCATGAAAAAAATCAGCTCAATTGATTTCGTAGTTTTCACGTTATTATACTCCAAGCATTCATATCTATAATATTAGTTCCTTCAATCCAAGTCATTGACTTGATCAGTATTGCACTAATATTATTAACACACTAATCCGTTCCCCAGAAATTTCTTTGGGGGAAAAAAACACAATATTGTTTTATAAAAGTTTTGGGTTGGAAAATAATAAAAGTCATTAAGTTGACGAATTATGCACTTAAAAATTAAATCACACAATACCACTAATTATTTACATAAACATAACTTAACAGTTCTCCATTGAGTACCTATCAGCTTGTTGCTGCTTAGTTCATTTGAATATTGCAGAAACCCCATAACCAACATTTTTTTGCAGTTGTGTGATTTCTGCACCAAATGATGTATTTCAATTTGTACATCATTAATATCTTATGTATATACTAAAAACTGTTTAGTATATATATAAATTGTTCTAATTTAAAATAGTACTTAAAAGCTACCTGTTAACCTGTGTCCATGTAGAGAAATAGACTTCCTAAATGATGTTAAATTAAAGCTAAGTTAAAACCTTTGTTCTAAGACATTTCCTTGACTGTGCCATGCATGTAAACCAGTGTAACGGCAAAAAAGCATTCTTATTCCTATTCTTATTCTTTGCAAAACTTACGACAGCTAGCCTGGCTATACTACTGGACCGAATTACACGTGGTTGATACCAAATGAAAGACATTTTCCTGTAGATGTGCAGAATCCCTTTATAAATTAAAATAGGCTCAAAAATAAGAACAAAAAATGAATTTGAAATTTAAAAAAATTAACATGGTTCTTAAGGGTTGCCATGCTGGTGACAAAATAACAACAAAATGTATATGGAAAATCCAAACAAATTCCAATCACATGTTTTATTTACGGTATGGGGTGAAAATAGAGAAGTCTGTACATTACTTATTTTTTGGTCAAGTTTTCAACCACTGGGCGACTTCTATTTTACAGAAACTATTATACAGAGTCGTTCAAAGAAGGAATTGTCTGTGGCACCCTCCCTGTAGCAGCAAACCTAAATACTCTTTAAACCATAATCTTACTTAAATAGGAGATAAATTTGACATGTTTAAGAACACATTTAAGTAAAAATCCCATCTGTTGAATTAATAAAAGGCGATCTACCACGTTTACCCTGTAAAATGATAAAGTGATCACTTCCAAGTCAATAAAGTTTATTATAGAACGAGGGACTTACTTATCTATTTTTGTGTAAACCCTTCTGCATCATCTTTCTGTCACTCAAGACAATGAAAAACAGTTACCGGTATATTGTTTTGCAAAGCAAGAAAGATAAATTCTTCCCCTGCGTTGAAATCTATCGATTTGTATGACTTCTTTTGTCCGGTACCTAACTTTGGGCACATTTGGACCTTCTAATTGAAACAAAATGAAATATGTTGATAGAGTACAGAACAGAAATTGTAGGATGATTGAACAACAATTTTGAATTATATGTTAGGTCACAAATCGGATAATGTACAACATTTTTGGGTGAGTTGTTTATGGTATTCACGGTTTTAGTTGTCTTATTGAAATCTATAATTATCTATTGCAATAAATTACTGCAAAAACCTCCTGAATATTTTGTCATTATCATTGAGTAAGATGTCTTGTCTAGGTACCTTTACGTCTAAGACCAGCTAGCCATGACCAATGGTCAAGAACAGTTGGGTCCAGTTTTAAACCATCAAAAAGACACTGATTTTTCTCAGGCCTGAACAGGTGCATCATCTCAACTCAACCTTATCTGTAAAATACACATTTATACAAACTAGAGGTCGTCCAGTGGTTGAAAACTCAACCAAACATATTTAATGTACAGACTTCTCAATTTTCACCCGACACTGTAAATAAAACATGTGTTTGGAATTTCTTACATTTGTTTTGATTTTTTGTTTATATTTCGTTGTTATTTCGTTACCAGCATAGCAACCCATAAAGCCCATGTTAATTTTTTTTAAGATTTCAAATTAATATTGTGTGCTTATTTTTGAGCCTATTCTAATTTTTAAAGGGATTCTGCACACCTACAGGAAAATATCTTTCTAACAGTATGCGTAGATTTCCCCTGCGATGCACACGAGCTGAGAAAAAAGGTTTTAAAGAAACATGCTTGCCTATTAATATTTACGAGAGGTCGTCCAGTGGTCGAAACTCGACCAAAAATATGTAATGTAAACTTACTTACTTCTCTATTTTCACCCCACACTGTAAATAAAACATGTGATTGGAGTTTCTTCCATTTGTTTTGATTTTCTGTTTATGTTTCGTTGTTATTTCGTCACCAGCATGGCAACCATAAGATCCATGTTAATTTTTCAAATTTTTAAACTCATTTTTTGTGCTTATCTTTGAGCCTATTTAAATTTATAAAGGGATTCTGCACACCTACAGGAAAATAGCTTTCTAACGGTATGCGTAGATTTACCCCACGATGCACACGAGCTGAGAAAAAAGGTTTTAAAGAAACATGCTTGCCTATTAATATATAGATAGATACAAATACAAATACAAATTGTATTGTATCTGTTTAAACACATTTTTACAATTAAACCTAAACTTTGATATAAGGTAATGAATCATCATTGAAAAACTAGCACTTTATTAGAAGAAGCCAACAAAATCGCTGAATATTTTACAAGTCATGAGTTGTAGGGGTCACCTAGACAGTGGTTTACTGGGACTTCTGGAAGTGTGCGTTGAGAGGACCTTCGTCTGCGTAGCCAGCGATCTCCTGCGGCACGACAGCGCTCTCCTCCACTCCCGTGCATGGGCGACACATGCACTCCAGCGGAGCTTTTGTGATCACCTATCAAAACAGCTGGTTTCAACCACAGCACTATGGTATAACATTTTTTGCTTTTATCTTAGATAATGGATTAGCTTTTAGCCTAGACATTCCATCTCCATGTTAAGATTGTCCAAATTAATTGAGCCATTGGCAGAGTACGTTCATGCAAATTAATGATTTATGTAAAACGCCAACTAAACCAATATTGAGGACTCTCAAATGAAGTGATTGATTTAGACTTCTCAGGTATTTCAACCCTTTTAATCTTTAAAACAGTAACCTGGAAAGTCGAGACTACACAACTATTTTGAAAAGAAAGTTACAAAATCCACGTGACATGAGGAAAGGACGCCAAATATGGGGTTTCACTTACCTTCCTAAATTTCCTCTCCCCTGCTTTAGCCTTGGGACAGAACAGGGACACACTGGCCTCCCTCTCCCCGCTCTCCTGGCAGCACATGCAGGATCTCTCCATCTGCCAGATTTTGGATCCGCTCACCTTTGCAACAACAAGAGAAATGCGGATTAGAGTTGAATCCATCAGTTTTGCACCTACAAGTTCCATATAAAAACATACAAGTGATTGATGTTGCCCCTACAAGTTGTAAATTTTCCAGTGTGGTGACACTCTCCATAGACGTAGAATAAATACGGGTCATCTATCAATATAGGTTCTTTGGAAAAGGCAAAGACTTCTTTGGTAAAGGTGGGTAGGTCTTTACCTATCAACCTTTTCCCACTCCACTAGACCAGTGAAGTTATATAATATACCTAAAAGTGTAACTAGTTAGAAATGAAGTGAGTTATTTTAATTACATTTTTCTTCAGGGTACCGGTAGTAAAATAGTCCCGTGAAGATTAAATGTTTCAAAAAGTAACAAAAAAAAGCTTCAAAACTTGGTACACAGGGTCTGGACATTAAAATAATGTCAACCCATTATTCAGTGATACACTACCATCTCAGGGGGATGGTCAACATTGATCTTATAAGCTACAGTAAAAATCTTATTGTTTAACACGTTCAGCAGTTCGAGGGGCAGGAATTCTCGCCCTGCGGTACCGGCACCACTGGTGGGGGGGGTGGGAAATGTCGTCCTTATCCAATGCCAACAAACTTGCTTCAATGTGAGCTTAGCGACACGCAGGGAACGTTGTGTTTGATTGCCGCGTTTTGTGCAAGTGTTGCTTCAACTTTTGGTCCGCTTTGTTTCCGTGTCGGCCATTCTGATAATTTTTGGTGCTTCGTCTTTGTGTCAACTATATTGTGCAAGGTGTTGGCTTAGTACTATTTTGTAATATTAATGATTTGGTTATAGTTTTTATTATTTCCATACAAAATATACTTTTTTACATATTAAAAAAATTTTGAAAACATTTTTGTTACCGTATTGAAATTTTTTAACACTAAAAGACTTTACATAATGGCAGTGGGGGGTTGTAAATATATTTTGTATACAAATATTGATGTTATAAGAACTATTGAATATAAAAATCTATTTCCTGTGTGACTGTGAGCGTATGGGGCTGAAAAATAGTTAGGGGTTGGACGAGGACCGGCATCAGTACCTAAGGACAGGAATTCCCGCCCCAGAAGTGACGTCATCAATTTCAGCCAAAATCGACACTGAGACATGTAGATTTATCATTTTTGATACCCTGACATCCTTTTTAAGTTAGTTATCACATTATAATATTTTTGCATTTTAGGGTCGCAATAATCGTAATTAGCACTGAACGTGTTAATGAACCATGGTAAAAAAAACTATTGTAATCTAATTAATAATTAATTGTAATTGTATCTGACACATGAATGTGCTCTAGTAACATTTCAATTAAGAATTTGTCTATTGTCTAATAAAGAAATTTTAATCTGTATATGTTTATTATATTGATCCATGCAAATTTGTCACTGGACTATGTTGAAAAGAATTGACTAGTTAGTAAAAGCTATCAAAAACAGTGTCATAATGAAAATTGAAGAATCATAAATCATTCAAAAGATTGTTTGACAAACTTCTAACATTTATTATTCAAAACCCTGTTGGTGTTATAATTTACAAGTATGTTTACCTTTGACTGTTACCAATTATATTCCATAATAACAACTCATAAATGTGGTATTACTTTATATTTTAGTTACAATTATTATTATTGCTTAAACCTAAATGATTAATAATTAAGTACTTAATATCGATGCAAATAATCACATTTAAAGTTAAAATAGTGCAGTGAGGTATATTTTCATATGAGCATTTAATAATATTACATTTTACAATATAACATGTAGGCCTATCTAAAAATTGAATAAAAAAATTTTAATATTGAGTTTGCAAACCAGCTGATGCTAGGATGATGCAATAGCTGCAGCTTTTGCTTTGACCAACCAGTGACTTCTGATCCTCAGTTGTACTCATTTCACTAAAAACTTCTACTGTGTAATACCTTATTCTGTAGCATAAATGGCTTGTTACTTGTGCTCTATTAAGTGGGGATCTTTTCCCAATGGAAGTGAACACAGCAAAAATAAGCTAAAGGTAAATATTTTACTTGAGTCATTTACAATTTTAAATATAATAATGGCATATAAAAATAGTTATGCTATAGTTTCTAAGAATGAAGTTAACAATTTTTATGTACAACAAGATTAGCATTAAATTAGATAATATTTATTTTTAATTGTATCTTGGAGGCAATATTTTCACCAGTGGGGAATAATCTGGGATATAAAAAATATTTTGAAATAAACCTAGCCGAGAATTTATAAAATACTAGTTTACCTTTGCAACATGAATTTATCTAGAATTTAAAATTAAAAACCCTGTTAAAATAGCTTAAAACATCTATTATTACTAATAATATAGAGTTGTACAGTAGCTGCCTAAGTAATTTTTGTATTCAAATAACAAATATAAAAAACTTTTTAAGGCAAACCAAATTTTTGTTTAGCTCTGTTTAAAAAAATAACTGGCTCATTTCTGTACAGCTGAGCTTAATAAAAATCGTCAATTTCTAATCCATCAAAACATATGATTATACAAACAAAATTATCCTTTGTCAAACACATTTTAAGCTCAACAGGAGCACTTCCGGTCCTATAACTTGTTTTATTACATTACGAGCAGTACTGTTCAGACAGCGGACTTTTAAATAAACTTTCAAATTATACTACGGTACTTAAAAAATGTACTAGAGTATGGAATGACAGTTTATTATTTAGAACCAAGAAGATTTGTTTTTAATTTACACAAATGGCAATTTGCTTAGTCGACAGGTTAGCGCGGCAGCGGGGGTATTTTAAATTCTTTCCGTAAGGGATTTGGATAGCAGGCGATTCCGATAGTTTGAGTTTGTATACATGGTGTTCTACTGTAGCTCACCTGAAGGTAGCTGCTGCAGCGACCTGTGCAGGCGAAGGAGGGGATGGGCTTGGGCACACAGCCGGGGTACTGCAGTACATGTATCACTGGAGTCACCTGGCAGTCCTCTGACGAGACAGGGGACTGCTTGGGTGAGTCACCCGCCAACACACATACCCACAGCAGGGCTACCAACACTGCAAACAAGCACAAACCTTGCTACACTGTACTCTTAGTTGTTGACAACCCAATGCTAAATGGCATCTGAGTACATCAATTCTGCTTGAGATTGAACTAACTTTAAGATTTGAAGGCAACACTACAACCAATTGGCTACCCAGACTTACAGTGTATATGATTACATAGCCTCTTATTTAGAAAATGCTCAAAAAGTTGGGAGTGTTTTTGTGAAGCCATAAGCAGGAAAACGAGGGTTGAAGTTGCTGAATCCATAAAAAATTATCAAGCATCCTAATCATATTTTTAAATTGAGAGAAAAGAATTTATTTATAAAAATAAATACAACTGCATTAAAAAATAAGGTTGCCAATGACACAAAAAAAAAATTTACACTTCAAATATTGAAGGATTATAACAGCTATAAGACTGATTAATTTTGATGTTTGCCATATAAATGATTTCTCATTTATTTTTGTATTTTGTGTTTGCACAATTAATTGAAATAGCAATTATAATATGAATGGTATCATTGGTATCACTATGATAACTTAATTAAATTGATTTTTTTCACCGATAATGTTGTTTTACTTATTATAAGGATAACATTGGCCAGGAGGACATTGGCCACCTCCATATAATATCAGTAGAGGAAAGATTTACTAATCAGCATTAATAATCTAGTTCAACAATATCAAATAAAATACTCAACATAATAATTTTAATTTAGGTAACTTAATTAACTGGCAAATGAGATGAGTGCAGTAAGCATTTATAATTAGTATATTTTAAACTATAGATTTTAATACAAAGTATATAATGGTTTTGAACAAAAAATCACACATTTTCCTTAAGATTAGCTTTTGAACTAACCTGTGTCAGTAACTGTGTGAATTAGCCCCATTGCTGTAAATAAAACTATGTATAGAGGAAATTACTAGCAAATCATAATACTGTTTCTGGAATCAGACTTGAAAACTTAAAAAACATGGTTTAAATGAAATGAAAGACAGACACGGAGTGGGGACAAATCAGGTCTGAAGTGACTTTTATACTTTCAGCCTCATGGGTTTTCCACCCACATTCCTCCCACTCTCTCCATTCAAAACATTCTCCACATTTAAACCCCTTTATTTCAATGTATCCTATTTACAGTAATATTTTAACAACTTAAATTTATAAAATAAATAACAATATAAAACAGATCTTATTTATCTTCATCTTTTAAAGTTCCGTTCTTAGTTTTAACAAATTATGGGGTTCTCAATATAAAAAGAATACGGTATTTTTTATAAAGTTTTTTTTACTCTTATTAATTAAATTGGTTGGAAAACAAAAAATATAGGTTATTTTACCAGTGATTCGTTTCAATTAGATAAACTACCATGGTTTTGAAGCCCTTGATCAAAGGCGTGCATAGAGGAACAAGCGAGACCGGACCCCCCCCCCCAGGGCCAAAAATATTTTAATATTAAATCCCCAAGATAAAAAATAAATATTTAGTATGATATTTAGCGCTTTTAGATACCCTAAACCAGCAATATTGAACACATATTTTTCCAAATGTTCCTGGGGGAGAACCCTCACACCCTATGCCCCCCGGAAAAGCCCTAGTCTACTGCCTGAACCCCCCCCCCCCCAGGGCAAAATCTTGAGCATGCCACTGCCCTTGATGGATACATGTTCAAGTTTGTATAGTCATTAAGCACAAGCAACCTTGGAAATTAATATAAATAATGACATGTAAACTTGAAATTTGCCATTGACTTCTTCAAAACCACGGTAGTTTAGCTACGGTACTTGAAACAAATCACTTGATGATACACACGGTAATGTAACCTATTTATTTTTATAATCATAGTGATTCAGAGGCAACGCCAAAATGTAATTGGAAAAGTAGATTTGTTAAGTTTTGGTCTTGGTAAAACGTAGTTGGTTGTGTTGGGCAGCTTCGAGTGTCCATGTGAGAAAGCTAGAAACTAAATCATTGTCGGTTTTTTTGTATAAAATACCAATTTATTGAACGATTTTCAATATCTCAATCCTAAAATGCATGGTAAATATAAAAAAGTTTGTTTTACTTATAAAAGAAAGGGGTGTTATATTTACAATATTTGGCATTGGGGGTCATAAGAGGGAGCCTCGCCCTCCCCACTTTTAGGGAGGTGTACATTAATTAATGTAATGTTTATTCATAAACCCAATAACTTCTGTGTAGTTTTTGCTCCTCTACTGCTAAAGGTCAATTGCCTCCACTGTCTATTTTATAAATTATTAATTGATAGTACAGTATTATTTCATTTTATAGACATTAGGACAAAAGAACTACGACCTTCTTATTATCTCTTTAGTTTCATACTTGTGTCTTTGACTATAATAAAAATCACTTGAATGAGAAAAAATGATATTAAAATTATAAAACCAAATCACCAGTATTATTGTTAAAATGGTGTGAAGGTGACTAAAATAGTGGAATGTCTTGTTGGGGAAATGGGAAAGTGGTCGAGTAGGTCCATACCGGTATAGTTTTCTGTACTGTAGTACAGTATTATGGTATTACAAAAATGCAATGCTCATAAATGAAAACATTTATTGTGCACAAACTTGCTGCAGGACTGAGTTGAAGTTTGAAGCTTCTTATTGAGTTAAATTTTGATAAACAAGAATGTAAAGAGATCAGAGTGTGGAGCTAAGTAGTTATGTCTGTTATGTTGGCTCCCTGAAGAGAAACCTGCTGAGTTACCACAATAACACTTTCAGAGACAAAATAAGCAATGCATTGAATGATGTACACTGTAAACTAATAAAATATTGTATTTGCAGGTTTATTAGTTCTTATAATGGCTCTCAAATTGGTTGAATAATCAGATCTGCTAGTTTATAGTAATTTATACAAGATTATTAAACATCTCAGTTTGAATATAGGTATTTGTAAAACTCTTGGTCAACGATATTTCAAAATAGATTTTAAATAAATGCTTAAAATTTACCATATAATCACGGTTTATAAATAAATAAAATATTGTATGAATTATTTTCCAAATCGAAATACCTTGCTATGATACATTTTTATGGAACAAATATCCAACACATTATAATATTTTAAAGATGGCATATTAGTTTAATGATACCGGTACATATTTAAAGATCTTTGTCACAGATTAGACATTTTAAAGTCAGTTTCATCCGGTACATCTAGAGAACGTTTTGTTGTTTACTACGTACAGGCCCACGGTTTGCATGTGTTGTGCTATGGGCCCGAGAGAAAATTGCACCCTCTCCACCTACATTGTGAGGAATTTTCTCTTTCTTGCGCCCACATCAAATCTAAAAACCTCTTGCGCCCCTGGTCCCAGAACAACCGGGCCCATTTATATTTGTTGCTACAGTATTTGTTTTATTTGATTTATTTACTTTATTTATTGTCGGAAAACCCCTTTTACAGATAACAAAGCAATGAAAATATGAAATTTATCAACTAGGCTATAGCTACTAAAATAAATTAACAAACAGTTGGACATAAAAAATAATAGAAAAGTGAAAAAGCCAGAACCGAATAATTCAACAACAACAACAAAATATAAAGTAACAAATCAATTACCGGTAGCCAGCCACAATAATATACAGTTACATAAAAACTATGAAAAGCTGAAAGTACAATGAATAACAATAATAAAGCAGAGAAATTTTAATACTCAGACTAAACAAAAACAAAAGAAAAAAACAATAAAGCCACTGTAAAGTCCAGGGGCTTGGTATAGAAAAGCAGGTCAACATGCAGACATGATCCTCTTGTTTCATTCTAGCATTGGTAAAATATTTTAGGAATGGTTGAGCAAAAGAAGTCGCCCTCAGTGGCGGCGACAGCAGGCCTGCGGGGCCCGCAGCGCAGGGGGGCCCGCAATTTAGGCGGGGCCACGAGTCTTGGCCGGAATTTTTTGAGAAATTTTACTGGGACAACGACCAAGGCCCACAACGGTGTGACGGGCTCTGCCACAAGGGCCAATTTCCTCTAAGCATTTTTAAAGAGCATAAAAAACCAATAATTTAGTATATTAAAGTGTTTTTGTACGTTTATTGGTAACAGAGAAAATTTAAAAAATTGTAAATTCAAAATTCCCATGTTACTCTTAAGGAGAATGTTGTAAAATGTTGTAGTTTGCTAGTTTATGGATATATTTTGATAAAACTGGTAAATTTTTTCATTTTATACTAAGCTATTAATATTTTACTAAAAAAACATACTCAAACTCTATTAGTTTCCCTGTAGCAGCAAACCTAGGTACTTGCTAAACCTAATGTTATTTAAATAGATTTAATTGGAAATCAATTCAGGCGGATGGAAATTCGCTTAGTCGGCAGTTTTGCTGCGGCGGGGGTATTTTACGATCAAATCGGCAAATAAACCTAGGAGGCTAGGACACTAGCCAATAAATAGTTCAATTCTTTCATTGATACTACTATTACTGTGTGGGGGGAAATATGTGCACTCGAGTCTGAACAAAAATATCTCTGGGATGGATGAATAGATTTCGTTGAAGCAAAAGTAAAATATAAGCTAGTTTAAATTAATTTTACTTGGTAACAATAAACAAATTTCTATTTACCAGACAAATTTATATAATTGAAAAATCATTAAAAGTACAGGTTTTTAAGAAACTCTTCACAAACACTCTGAAGTTTTAAATGTAATTATAAACAAACCATAAAACTAATCTTTCTGAAACTCTTATGGTTTATTCGTAGGTTTATTGTTATCATACATTTTCAAAATTTTATTGTATTCACAATAGTTTATATGCTGCTGTTAATTGTTTAAACGTATGCTAAAATCATTAATAAGACGCTACAAACTTCGTTCAAAATACCATTGTGTTTGTCGTGACACAAGAAATGACAGTGATATGTCAGATTTATAATGCGGACAAAGATGTTTTTTTAAACAGATTTATATTCGTAAACAAAATTTTCTCCCTCGACTGCGGCAGGGGGGCCGTCTCATTTTTGTACGATATTTAATTCCCAGCCGGCCGGGAGTGTGCGCGACACTGCAAAGTTGCCGATGTATATCTGATGGCTACCACGTCGACATTTCTACATTGACATTTTTCTGTTTAAAAAAAATAAAAGCTTTATGTCCTTGAGGATCACGCTCACGAGATTATAAGGTTACAATTTTGCCGTGCCGTGATCGCAGATGTGGACGAGAATATTTCTCCGCGGGTGGCGATGGCGATGACGATGTCTCTGCGGCCGCAGGAAATGTTCAATGGTTCAATATTTTGCCCCTATTGCGGAAGACGATAATGATGTCCACATGACCCCAGGAAACTTTCAGGATCAGAGCGGAGCCCAGTGAACAAACCTGCTGGGCCCACGGGCTCTTATCGCCGCCACTGAATTGTGGTGGAAGTTGATTATCCTTGCACTGAATACTGGACTGTTGGACTGTTCTGGTCACATACTGTTCCGGGGTATTGTCTAGAACCCCTTTTGTATACCTAGTATGATCAGGCATCTATAAAAGCAACCAATTCAAAGAGAACTTTATTGGGTAGTCAATAAAGCCAAGCCATTTACTATACTCTTCAAAGGAACGTCTTGAACATTCCCATTTATAGCTCTAAAGATGAAAGGTGAAGCAGCAAAGCAATGGTGTTCACTGATAAGATGCAAACCCATACCATCCGCAGAAACTTGTCTGGATCGAGTTGAGCCTCTCTATGAGGAAACCATATATACCACCAACTAGAATTGAAGAAGGTGCGTAAAGTGGTACCTATATATAGGCTTTGGCTTACATCAAATTTTCAGCACAGCTATATAGCAGGCTCAAGCTGGCAAATGAAGCGTAATACAACAGTAAGTTGAGCCCAGATGTTTTTAGCCTTTTTACATGATGTGTGGCTCAGAGCTAAGAGAATTAAGATGATAAGATGACCCCAAGGTCCATAACTTCTTTCACCCTGATGGTGAGTTCAGCCCCATTTTAAGCCAATGTGAAAATAATATGTTTGGCAACTTTGGTTTGATGAAAAGTGATGCTAAGTTAGCTATAGCTTCACACTATTTCTCCACCTATAGTGACTCGTTTTGAAGGGAAATTAAGTCTTTAACAGTGGAGATGATCATAAGTAGGCTACTTATTCATGACATCAGCAAATACATAATTATGAGTTTTCACAGACTGGGCAAGGTTAACAATTAAAGACATATATTTAACAGAATATGACCAATAAGTGAGCCCAGTGTGGCGGTGATACCGCAAGTTTGTTCACCAGGCCCCCCTAGGCTTTTTTAATTGCCAAAAAATAGCCGAGTTCATTCAGTCGTATTAGCATGCGGAGGGACCTCTCTGGTGTGACCCACCACGGAGGCCACATCGATTCGAAATACGGCCAATTAATCTATTATATTGCTTTCATGCAGGCCACGAGGAAATTTAATGCAATCCGCATGACTGCAGATAATTTTTGACTTAGGTTAGTAGAGAATTTCTATTGCCAGGTCAAGTAGCAGTAATGGCAGTTTTAGCAGTTGTAAAATACATGTCCTAGCGCTCTTACTGGATAACAATTTTTTGTCATAAGACACTGATGGCAATACACTCGTATACATATTGTTATGTAAATAGGAGCCCGTATGGCAGGGCCTGTCGTGGGTCCGGGTCCCAGAAAAATGTCCCGAAAGTTTTTGGTCAAGGCTCGCGACCCCACTGAGTGAGTGTGAGCCGTAATAGAAACTCTAGAGGTGCCTCGAAGTCTCTGAACCTAACTGGACGTAATCAGCTGACGGTCCCAACGATAAATTAATTATTTTGAAACCGATCAAATGCTTGTTCTCGTTTTTAAAACTATGTTTAAGAAACAATAAATAAAACTATGCCATTACAAAAACTATAGCTTCAAATACACAAACACTATCTGGTTTTATTGACAAAAAGTAAAGAACAAATCGTTCTTTTTTAGAAGGTGCCACGGAGTACACTACTTAAAAAGGCATTATTTGTAATTTCCAAAGAAAACTGGAGTTTGAGCCCCTATAGAGTCTGTCTCGTGGACAGAATATGAGTCGGTTGGCATGACAGGGACCACTTATGAAGTCAAACAGGTCGAAGCCCGCGGGTAGTAATAAAAAAACATGAAATACGCTTTAGATTTTACAATGCGTTGAGAGGTCTACGTGCAAAGTCAATATCTCCATAAAATACCTATACATTCGTATGGTTGCCATTTTAAAGTAAAGTATTAAATTATCAATATCATAAATCAATATATATATATCAAAATCATATATATATATATATATATGACCACTTTTCATATATAGACCACTTTTCAAAATGCTGAATGTTTTTACTGTTTTCAATCAGTTCACCTACAATTGCCTTCTGCACGTCAAAGGAAATTTGAACTCTCATGAAACAAGGGGTGACATGCACGACCATAATGTCCGAAGTGCCCATAAATTAAATACAGATCGCTACAGACTAACTATGACGAGAGACAGTTTCCCTGCCATAGCTTTCAGGATGTACAATGCTCTGCCTGGTAAAATAACAGAACTTGACACAAAAGCGTTCACAAATAAAATTAAACAATTTTTATTGGAGAACCCTTTCTACTCAACTACGGAGTTCTTCAAGTATGCTGGCGCGATGAACTAGCTGTCCACCGCCACCACACAGTTTTAAATGTATATACATATATATCTAAATTAGTTTTTATTTTTTTCTTTGACGCTATCTATCCAGCCTAGGCTGGTCATCGATGAAGAGGAGGTAATTCAGGTAATATATATACATGAAGCTTATATAGTATAGCTTCATTAAAACTTGTAATGGCCGTTAGTCTGCTCAGAACACTTCATATGATGGCGATGAAGAAGACGAAGAGAGAAGAGAAGCAGAAGCGAAGTGAGTGAGAGAGAGAGAGTGAGAGTGAGAGAGAAAGACAGGACGACAGGACGGGACGAGACGACGTAAATTCATAAAAATGTAAGCGCACGGCGCAAGGGCCAACGGTAGTGTAAAGTAAAATGGTGTAATGGTTCCCTTCTTGAATGCATGTATAATTTTGGCAGAGAGTTGAATTGTTCAGTGACAAAAGTGCTATTATTCGATTTATCGATGTCTTAGGTGAAACAAGCGTGATCAGCATTTTATGGTTTGTAAATTGTTAGCCATGTCAAAGTCAACAGTGATTTTAAATGGTGAAAATACGAGTGAAGTGAAAGATTATACCACTGACGCGAACGTCAACATGGGCGCTGCTATCAACGATAATAATTCCTGTACCAAACATATAGAATCTTTAAATTCAAAAGACACTAAGTCAGGAGTTATACCATACCCTTGTGATTTTGACCATATTTACGCCAGTAACATGAGTGAAAATGAAAATTTTTCTGAGAAGAATTCTGAATTCGCTAATCTAAAGGAACTACTTTTGTTGCACCTGGACCTTATCCAACGACAATCTGAACAGCTACTTACCAAAGAAAAACTGATTTCTGCGTTAAAGCAAGAAAACGACACGGTAGGCTTACATTATTTAAAAAAAATAGCTTTAAACATTGCGACAGTTGTTGGCTTTATAGTACCGGCAACCTAGGCCTAGTTGAACCTGTGAAATGGAAATGTTTTTCTGGTAGGCCCTAGACCTAGCCTTGGTAATTTCTTCAAAGTATGAATTTAGGCTAACTTGCTGTCACAAAAAAGGGGGGAGTTTCAAATTAGTTAATGATTTATGCCAATTAATTAGCCAGCATATTGTACTATAGGGATGAGCATCAATTGCCAATGTTTTTCAAGTTAAGTTACATCGATTATAGGTTAGGTACCAATGTTTTTGGCCAAGTAGGCCTAACTTAGGCCTGACTAAAATATTGAGCCTGTCGATGTTTTCCATTACTGGAGGGTACGGGAAGCAGACGAAAATTGAAAAGAAATTGAAAAACATCGGTGTTTTGATCCCAAAGACATCAATGTTTTCGCCTCAATGTTGTTATTGGTAACTTAGCCTACATCGATGGTTGACGCCGGATGTTACCCTGTACCCAACCTAATCAATCTGTTCTAAGTAGGCCTACACTGGTCAATTAAAAATAGTCTTAAGTTAAGTTAAGGTACAGTTTCTTAACTGTGCTAACTTATGCAAATATCGATTGAAACTATCGTTAACTTATTTTTAACTAGGCTAGGCCCAAGTTATAAGCTATGCTAGGCCTATCAATTAGGGCCTTTACAATTAAACTGTCATAGGCTTAAACGTCTGCACTTTACTTTACGTCCTACACTCATTAGAATGAAACAACCGAATGAAGCAATAACTTAGATATTTTCATTCGGTTGTTTCATTCGAATGAGTGTACACGTAAAGTAAAGTGCAGCCTCATTACTTAAACAAACTTGCTGATAGTGAAAAAATCAAATAGGTTTACTAGGCTAACTTAATCGAATCGATAATTAGTTTCAATTGATATTAGCATAAGTTAGCCCAGTTAGTTAAGAAACTGACCAGTGCAGGCCTAGAACAGATTGGTCAGGTTGGGTAAGTACAGTGTAACATCGGCGTCAACCATCGATGTACTTACCAACATTGCACCAACTTAAAACAGTGTTGTTGCGAAAACATCGATGGTTTTGGGACCAAAACACCAATGTTTTTAAATTTTTTTTAAGTCGTCTGATTTTTGTAAACCCCAGTAATGGAAATATCAATATCTCAATAGGCCTACTTGGCCAAAAAATTTGTACCTAACCGGGTACACTTCCATACAGTAAGTTAACTTATCTGTTGGCACAAACAACCGCATGAGTAATTTTGATTATTCGATTGTTTAATTCAATATATCGTTTGGTTCGTTAGGTTAACCTTACCTAACTAAGCAAACGATATATCGATCAATATTTTCATTCGGTTGTTTGTGCCAACGGATATGGAAGTGTACCCACCTAACCTACCTACCTTCGATGTATGGGTAACTTAACTTGAAAATAACCAAACATTGATAGGAAAAATCAACAGTCAATGCTCATCCCTAGTACAGTTCTATAGAGAACCTGTGGTATATTATCGGTTTTTAATCAATTTTGATTCGGTTTGATAGCCTATGTAAGTTAGGCCCTAAGGTAAGTTAAGTTATTAGGCCTACTTACTTATCGTTTCTAAACATAAACAAATGACGTTGTTGGCCCGAATCCTATACTAATAACATTGAACATATGTTTTGGCAGTTCCATTTAAGCAATGTTAAATAATGTTTATTTGCGGGCCAAAAACGTCATTTGTTGATGTTTGTGATCCATAAACTTACCGGTATTTTTCTAGTATTCGTGGTTTTCTTATGCTGATACTAAGTAGGCCTAGTTGAGTTTACCTCAAGATACAAAAGTAGGCTACAGTTAGGGACCTCAATCTCGGTATCCCGGCTGATTTTTGATGCCTAGAAATCCCGGGATTGGTGACTATTAATCCCGGGATTAACGGTATTGAAAACCCTATGTTTAAGATTATATTTATTTTTAGTGAATTTGGGCACTTTTACTTACGGAAAATAAATAAAAATACGTCCAATAACACTTGAAACACATATACTCTTTATTTCTAGGAGGATAGGCCTAAGTAATGATCTAGGCCTATTTTGATTGGAAAATTAAATGATCATTAAACTCAATAGGCGAACGAATGTAAATATATATGTTTCAGTTTTTGGACGATTTTGATTTACTTTCTGTAAATGTTAAATTACATTATTTAGTTAACTTAGCCTAATTACAGTAGGCCTATAAGTTATTTTGAGTTCTACTTCTGACATTAAACGTAAACAACGCAATTTGTGTAGCAAACGGAAATTGAAGTATTATTTTCATTGAAGCTATAAAATATAACTATAAATAGGCTACACCCTTATAATTGTATTATTACTTAAGATTGCTTATATTTAGGGTACGGTATATAACTTTATCTTCGTATTCGGTTATTAGTGTGGTGATTAAATTTCTTAATATCCTAAAATTAAGTTTTTCATCACGCTATATAAGCAGATGGTGTATTGTTTTACAGTACCTAGGCTATCTTTATTGTTTTATTGCTGTCAGTCAAAAGAACATTTTTACGCTACTACTCGTGATTCTTCCCATTTTATCTTTTTATCTTAGCTATCTTTTAATCAATCTATTTGCGTGACGTATAGGCTACGTGTGAGTGCGGTTGCTCGTGATTTTGAACTGTTGCACTATTAACAGTACTTTCCTGTTAAAGGGAACATTCATTATTAGGCTATCGTTAATTTTTTCTCGATATATCGATATTTTTGTTTACCGATCCATTACATATTGACAACTGATATTGTTTAGGCTAAAATAGTCTATTGGATTAAGAAATGAAACTGTTCTAAGCTAACCTAACATAACCAACCAAACTTGTTGTACTATTTAAAAATTCCTTTTGATAACAGAAAAGGCAAGTTAAACATGGAATGTTACACAGCAAGTTTGGTTAGTTATGTTAGGTTATTTTTTTAGAACAGTTTCATTTCATTATTGTTTGTTGATACCGGTACTGAACAATATTTATCGTAGTTGTCAGCTCATATGTTTCAATTTGTTAATATCGATATATCGAGAAAAAATAATCGATAATAATGAATGTTCCCTTAAACAGGAAAGTACAATAATAACTTATTTAGGGGTGTTTTGTGAATAATTATCAGTTTGATTTGGTTGCATCTTGCATCTCATGTCATTGACCTTAAATAAATATGCTTACCTACTTTTTTTCAGTTAAAACAACGTTTGGAGCGGATGGATAGAAGAGTCACTCTTCAAAAGCACAAGGAACTATCAGAAGTGTTAACATCTTCCACTAACGGTAGTACCTCATTGCAAGAAATAGAAATGCCGGTGGGTCTGGACACTAGTGCACAAGTAAATATAGTGGAAACACCGACATGCACTACCCATGTGCAACCGAATGAGGAAGTGCTATTGCCAGTAACCAACAGTGTTCAGGAGACAAACAGTGTTGTGCGAAGACGGCGAAGGGACGATAAGATGAGTGCTAGCAGTAGTGTTTTAAGCACCAGTGGACTTAAAAGAAGAAATAGAAGTTTATCTTGGACTTCATCTGTAAATAGCACTGAAGTTATGCCTTCAGCCAAAGTGAATGGTGGGAAACTAGTAAAGCGGGAGAGGCACCACAGGAGAGAAAGGATGAGGAAGAAGCGTTCAAAAAAAGGTACTGTACCAAATAAATATATTTTTGATACAGTCGGATTGAGATTACATGTCTCTTTTATGGATTAGAAGCTGAGTGGTCATAAAGCTCGCTCCACATTTATAAAAAGTTGGTTTGGTACTGAGAGAGTTTTTTTTGTTAGGTGGAGCTTGAAACTGGACCCAACCTTTCTTGATTCTAATTAATGGTTGTTGTAAACAAATTTGCTAATTTTAGTTGAATTCGTGGATTATAAGAGGCATAACATAAGTTACTTGAACTTGAACATTTTGGGTCCCTCCCAATTAATTATAGTTAAGCCCAATAGGCTATTTTCTGTTTGAAGTCAAATGTAACTTAGGCTTCTTTAATAGGCCTACTGATAAAATTCTGTCCTCTAATAAATATAAAGGCGTAGAACAATTTCCAATCGGATTGATAAGGTTAAGATTTTTTCTTTTATGTTTAAATCTTAAGTTAGTTAGGTAGGCCTACTCTTAAAATGAAAGCATAGGCCCACATTCGATATGACTATCAAAAGCAACGTTAAGTAGTCATAAATTGATACCATCGGGGGAAAAATACCAACAAAATAAAGATACTAGATTGAGAAACAAAGTTGAATGGACTTAGCCTATATTATAGGCTAAACACTGTTTATTCGTAATTGCTTATTACGGACGTTTTTTCAGACTCCACTGACAAGAAAGATGACAATATTTTGACAACAGAAACACCCTATTACACTCCAGTTGGTGACGCTAACAATATATGGAACCTGGACGAAGTACCTGTCAGTGGATGTGTTCTTGAGGTTAGTTAAACGTATGGTAAAGTGTGTTATTGAGATATGCTATTCATCAATGTGACAGCAAAATAGCATAGGCTAGACAAATTTCAATTGCAAGTAATGATATCCGTTGTTGCTTTGATTATGGGAAATTACCACAGATGTTCTATGATCACGAGAAATTATCACAGAATTGCCGCGTTTCTGTAAATCTATCATTTCTGCGATTGCAAGTAATGATCTCAGACGTTGCTGTGATCACGGGTGTTCAATGATTACAGAAAATCATCAGTTTTTCCGTGGTAGAGAGAGATGATCACGGATGTCTGGCATTGCAAGAAATTAACACGGGTATTGCTGTGATAGCGGAAAATCATCACGGACGGTGCCTCGATTGGAGGAAATCATTACAAATTTTTCTGCGATTTGAAGATATGATCACCGATGTGAATGCCATAGCGGAAAATTATCATGGAATTCACCATGATTCTGTGTAATGCTTGTTGATGTTGTTATTTGTAATGCATTGTCATTCTAGCGTTAAAGCTAGGACGTCTTCTCGCTAGGGTCGCAGCCACCGTCCAGTACAAGTTGCAGCCAAACTTTTCCCTTCTCACATGGTAGCTGCCACCAAGTGGTGTTATCACTCAAAAAGTGCTCTGTTTTGTGTGGTAATTACTTAAACTCGCCTGAATTTAAAGTGAATGTGATTTTGTTTGCAGGTTCCTAGTTGGAGAGTTAAAGTTTTTACCAGCTGTTACACTATGGAAGGGACTGAAAATCTCTCAGATGATGTTTTTGACAGGAGACATTCCAGATTAGAAATTGATGAAAGGCGGAGAAAAAGGTAATTAATTGCAAGTGGTTGCTTTCATTAGAACGGTGGTTTGTGATTGTTTTAGTTGTATGAAAATAAAAATAATCTTATAAAAATGTGTGAATGTTCTTAGGTAATAGGTTGCTTAGTAAATATTCTTAAAAATCAAAACTTTGTGTTTAAATTATGTTCAGGAAAGCAATTAATTGAAATATAGTTTAGTTTATACAAGAATAATGGTCATGAAACACATATATGTATAAAATGTATTTATTGTATTACTCAAAAACTTGCAAAACAATAGTGTACACGGTTAACATGCACAGAGTGCTATATCAAGGTGTACATTTACTTTTTTTGTAATTATTTTTTGAAGAGTGAATAAACGAGAATGTTTTATCGCAGATGGGACGTGCAGCGGATCCGTGAGCAAAGGCAGTTGGAGAAGCTTCGCCAACGAAGCATGAAGCGGAGAGACGGAGACAGTGATACAGAGGAGGTGGAGTCTCTCTGGCCCTTTCCGGACCAAGCGCAGTACCTTCACGTCTCAGACACTTTGCCTGTAGCCGCCTTTGGATGCCCAATCACCAAGTTTAATCCTATGTAAGTCTCCCATCATGATTACATTTATAAAAAATGTAGACTCTATTACCGTTTTGTGTCGTCATTGCTTCAGCCATTTTCCAGACACTTGACCTCAGTCTCGCTTGAACTTAAGTGCAGACATGTCCGTTGTGATTTCTTACCCTCTATTTCTACTAGTTAGGGCCTATTGATTTTCCCAGATTATTTTATTCTTGTTTTGAGTTTTGGTTTAGCTTTGGTATTCTACAGGTGTGGCTGGGTTTATGTACTAATCTGATTTGACAATAGGAAGTTCATATAACTTGAACTTAACTGTGACTCCATTGAATCAAATACTGAATAAGGCTGTGGTTTCCTAGACGCGTAATAGATGCGCAGCGGTTTAGATGCGCTGCGGCTTTTATCCAGGTCCCAAAACGCAGCTGCCGTGAGTGGTTTCCTAGACTGCGTACAATACACACGGTTGGTGCGTAACTTAAGTTTCACGGGAGAGGTAAGTAGTGGCTACTATGATGTTATACGATGATTTAGATAATGAAATGGCTATTTTGGTATTAAAAGCTTTGAAGAAGCGTAAGCAGTAAAAACTACATGATTAGGAACTGTACGTGGCCCTCGTGGATCTTTTAACTGTACTGTTAAAAAAGCAAACATGTCAATTTAAAATGTAAACAATAAATATTAATTTACCCTGTCCAACTTTGCTGTTACTGTTATTATATTTACCTATTCGGGATTTACCGAATCGATGAAAATACCTTTTACAAGTATAACTGCAATGAACATTTTATACTTATACGCCAAACCCGTAAGAAGTTTGGGTACAATGCTAGTAATTAATACAGTATAGGCTTATTACTAAGATGTTAAGGAGTTCCTAAAATAATTATGGGGGCTCTTATATTTGGGAGTTGGTGTTGTGCTGACTTGAAAAGAATATTTGTCAACATTAGGTTTATTTACTAATAATAACAATAAGAAAATATGTGAGGATAAATTAATTAATTGTAGGGAACATGTAACAAAGGAATTGAATATTAAAATTACACATTATGGGGAAATTAACACCACATAACGAATGATATGAAATATAATACTATAACATTTTAATCGTATGAACAAAGTACTTCCATAATATGTCATTAGAAGAGACAAATTCAATCAATTTTCCGTCGTTGTTTACATTTACTTCCGAATTCATTGCACAAGACACGTCTAAAACGCAGCGTAACTCAGATTTGACTGCTCTGAAAGCAGTCGGCCAAATACGCAGCTATTGGTGCGCGCGTATTAGATGCGCGCGCATTAGATACGCAGCCTTGGAAACCGCTTACACGAAACTCCATAAGACAAGTGTGCTGCGTCTTAGATGCGCACACGCAGCGCATCTATTACGCGTCTAGGAAACCACAGCCTAAGGTGCGACTTTTCCAACTTTTGGTTCTAAAGTAAATTTTAAAAGATTTTCTTTGCCTAGGTATTACACTATTTCTTCTTCAATAAACGTTCCATACCTTAAGTGTCATCACCATATAAAGGAATGTTTTTAATGCCACAGTATAGACCAACACAACATTCTAATCTTTGCCCAGTTAGGTTATTTTAACATTAGGACATTCCTTTTCTAATAGGAAGGAGTGTAGCAACTTGTATTTGTATTGATTGCACAAAATAAAAATCTTCAAATAGGCTACAGTCATTATGGCTGGCGAGAAACTTGCTTTACATTAGTTATTACTTGTCGTAAGGAGTGAATGTGAAATTGAAATACTATATCGGTATTTTACAGTATTGTAAAGGAACAGTATGGTATCAAATTGATAGAGGTAGTCAAGCTTAATGGCTTTTCTTTAATAAAATATCAACTGAGTTATATTCTCATTTTGTATTTTCACTAGGCCTATAATACTGATTGCAGCAAAAGGGATTGTCACCTTATTAGCCATGGTAATCAGTTTAGTTGAGTTTGTTTCCGGTGTTGGTAGCAACATCTCATTGCTGATTCAAAACTATATTTTTTTCTCTTTTTTCAGTGACTCAGAGTTCACGTTGCCGTGGGTGAATGGCAGAGATTTTGGCCGTAGCAGGTCATCTTATGTATCACGCAAGAAGAGATGAATATTAGGTAATGATCCATGTTAATTCAAATCACCTTAAATCTCAATTCCTAATGACTTTCCTATCATCAATTTATTTTGCTTAGATTTTTCTATGAGTTTTCTTGTAAGATAAAGCTTATTACAGGGTTTAGTCGCAGGAATATTTAAAGCAATAGGTTAAGTAGACAAGCCTAAAACATCCGTTTTGATTTACAGTTAGTTGGTTTGAAGTATTTGTTAAACATTTCTGTCTTTCTACTTGATTGAGAGCAAGGGTTGTCTTATGTTGAATGTGTGTGAGTTTACTGACTTATTATCAGCTCACTAATAATGTATACGTTATCCTCTAATTTGACAATTGTTGAGAATATCAGAACATTATTGTGTGTAGAGTCTTTTTGCTATATAGCCCTAGATTGTGGGCTGTAAAGTGCTACGTAAGATTTTAATTTTAAATCATAACATTTGGTTACTTAAAACCAATTTTTGTTACTATAAGTTATTTAAAAGAAAAATAATTCAGGAAGAATTGGTGCTAGTAGAAAAATATAAAGAAAGCACTGAGATTTCAAATAAGATGTGTAAACCTGTAGGGACATTAATGTCGTCAATGAAAATCTTCCATTTTCTTGACATAATTTTCAGCCCTCATACAGGACAAAATTTTAAAAATGGAGGTGATTGGATCGTTAATTGGTTCTAGAGGAACATCAACATTGTGAACTATTGGAAACAATATGATTTGGACAGATCCTTTTTAAAAATTATTACACATGAAACATTTAAAGGTTCATTGACTATAATGAGGAATAATTTATATGGTAAACTTCAAAATTAATCAGTCTTGTTGTTTTAATCATTCAATAAATTTTTTAGTGTATATTTGTCTGTGAAACATTATTTTTTTAAGGCAGGCATGTTCATTCTTATTAATAAATTCTGGACTCTATTCAATACTGTATTCCAGCTTAGCAACCTCTTGAAATGAAATGAAATACGTTTATTTATCCCAATATTGTACAGAAAGATACAGATAAATAAAAACAGAGAGCAAGATAACTATAGTAGTACAACTATAATTGTTAATGAGTCTGCCATACTTATGGGATAGGCCTACATGGGCAGGTGCCTGTGCGTAGGCCTGGTTGTTATCAGTCTGCGAAATTTTAAGGGCAAAAACTGAATATGAGAGATTTTTTTTCTTAATTATTTAAAATAAAACAGAAATGCGGTTGAGAATGTCGGCGACGACAACCAAAGCCAGTTCAATAAAAAAAAGACATTTGGTGGGTGGGGGGGGGGGATTCGGTCAAAGGGTCGAGGATTTTTAGTCAGAGTCAAGTATGGTTTGGTCTAATCAAAGTCTCGGCCTCTTCTTTGGTAATGGAGTGCAGTAAAACAAGAATATGACTCTTGAATTTCTGTAATGAGGGTAAACTAAAAACGTGTTGAATATCATATTTTTGAATTACATTTTGACAGAGGATCTGAGAAATATAAAAGCAGTTGGTAGTTAGAACTGATTTATGTAGCTGGGGAACAGATATTCTAACATTGTGGGAGTATCTTGTGAAGTGCTCATGTGTGACTGCTGTAAGAATCGTGTTTCAGTTTTTGAATGTGTGATTAAGAAGGAACTGGATGAAAAGATGTCTGACCGGTAGTATTCCCGTCTCACGGAACAGAGCATCAGTGGAGTACCTTTTATTTTTTCTAAAAACAGCTTTCAAAATTGATCTTTGAATTACATTCAAGGGTTCCAAGGTGGTGTGATAGCATGCTCCCCAGCAAATAATTCCAAAAGAAATCAAAGATTGCACATAAGCGAAATAAGCTCGCTTTACGTCATCCTCGTCTAAAATTTCACTCAATTGGTTAAAAGCATAGATATATTTACGAATCTTTTTCTTCAAGAAATCTACATGCTCTGTCCATTTCATTCGGTAGTCAAAATAAACACCCAAATATTTATAATAATCTACCCTTTCAATGTACTCACAATTACAAGATAAGCTGTTATGGTTGCCGCAACAATGAATCTTCAAATTGTCTAGATTATAATCAGTGCTGATACTGAGTGATATGGGAAGGAATTTAGTCTTGGTTACATTAAGTGAGAGCACATTTTGATCTAACCATTTCTTTAGAATTGAGAGATCACCAAGAGCTTTGGACCTAACATCCTCCCATGAACAACCCTTTATCAAAACTAAAGTGTCGTCAGCAAATAAAAACAGTTCACCATTTAGGTTGAGTTTAGTAATGTTGTTTATATAAATTAGAAAAAGTATAGGCCCCAGAGTACTTCCCTGAATAACCCCATACTCAATTGAATTTACATCACTATTCACACCACAGATGGAAACCACTTGATGTCTGTCAGATAAATAGTTTTTGAACCATGTGAGAGCAGTGCCTCTGACACCGATCTGTTCCAATTTTGTTAGCAATAAATTTCTGTCAATTGAGTCGAATGCTTTTTTTAGATCTAAAAACATTAACATAGATCGATTGTTATTAATCATTGAATTATTTATAGATTTACAAACTTCAAATAGTGCATCAGAGATGTTTTTATCTTTTCTGAACCCAAATTGTGAATTAGATAGTATATTGTTACTTTGAAGGTACTCCACTAGCTGTTCCTTAACAATACGCTCCAAAACCTTGGAAAATACGCTTAACAATGAGATTGGCCTAAAGTTGTTTTTATCTTTAGGGTCACCTGATTTGAATAAAGGAATAACTTTTGCTGTATTAAATTGAGCCGGGAATATACCAGTCAGCAGAGATAAATTGATTATGTGTAGCAGAAGAATGTAAATTAAGAGTACGTTTTGTTTGAGTAAATCAGCCGAGACCTCGTCCAGACCGGGAGCTGAGCCACCACGCAGCCCAGAGATAAGTTTGAGGAGGTCCGGTTGCAGTGTGAATATCGAGTGTATGTGCGTGAGTGTATACAGTGTCATGTATAGTGAGGGCGGTGGCATAGTGGTCGGTGAGGCTAGTGTGCAGTACAGCAGCGCGCACAGCAGTCATGTCACAGTACCGTACAAATATGTCATCAATGCAGGATGCAGTGTCCTGTGTAACTCTAGTCGGTCTGTCCACACACTGTACAAGGCCGGAGCCAAGTAGACTGTTTTGACTGTAGACTGTCTTGATCAGTCAAGTATAGAAAATAAATATTTTTTCCTTTAGGTTCATAAATGATACACTGTAAATGGTGGTATCATCTTAATTTCTACCTGGTGTTAGTAGGGCTAAGAAATGGAATTCAAGTGTAACCGTTGGATTAGTTTAGAATAAATTGTGAATAATTTTTCTTGTATGTTTCAGGGTTTGTTGATGTTATGTACAAGATGAGGACTTTCACGTTAATATTACCTTTTTTCTATGAGAGCTGTATTTTTGTTGCGCCCACACTATAGACCAGACTCAGTAAAGTAGACATTCAATGGCTTGTTAGTGCATCTTGTTCATTTTCCTACTCCTCATCGGTATTAATTGTAAATACTAAATACTAAAGTATCTTTGACCTTGTGAATTTGTACTGTTAACATAGTTGCAAATTATTTATATTTTTAACTGTTGTCATTTAATAATTCATTAAAGTAGGCTGAAAAAATACATTCTTGATTTGGTCTTCCTTCCCACTTTGTTTGATGGTTTCTGTATCTACCTCGTTTATATTAAACTTAATATTAATTATAACGGCTAGTTATACATTTTATGAATTTTATTCTAAGAACAACGATTGAATGATGTTTGAAAAATTAATATAATAAATCGTTCAAACTAATAGCAAACTTAAGAAAGCACATTGATAACCGATTTCAAGGAGCCCATCATGTCACAACAAACACAAAAACTTGACAATCTACTGAAAAATCTGCATTTTCTACCATTCTTTACCATTAACAGAATTTTTGACCAAATTGGATTTTGGTAGTAATACGTCTTCCATGCAAGTTAGCCTGCGACTCCATCAAAAGTCCTCAAGAACTAGGCCATATTGTGTTGTGTGTTACATCATAAAACACAAATATTTTAAAAGAAATTAATTATTTAATGGTTCAACATTTTTAAGGCCTAAATACTAAACTTTCTAAAAAATTTTTTCTGACATAATAGGCAGCAACAAAAACTATGCAAGTGCCCCTAACAAAAGTATATTGTTGCAACTCTTCTGTGTTAAGTGGTTTGATTCTCTTTTATGGGAGTGTTGCACGACGTCCAAGTGCCACGACGTCCAATAATATTTTTCCAGTGCCACGACGTCCAAAACATAATTTTTGAGTTGTTGCACGACGTCCAAAAGTACAGTAACTGCCAAAAATATAGTCTTTCTACAAGCTTTGGACGTCGTGGCACTTGGACGTCGTGAAACAGCGCACTATATAATTGTAAAGACGTATCATTTGCACCACGTCCAAAGCCTCTGCCAGTTGCACGACGTCCAAGTGCCACGACGTCCAATCAATATTTGACTGTTGCACGACGTCCAAGTGCCACGACGTCCAAAGTGCCTGCACACTGTGAACACTGTTTGCCGACCTCAGTGCATACAGTTCGCATTGCAATTATTGAAGGCAACTAGTCCTAGTCAACTGTTTGAAAGTTGTCAACCGCTTCGTCTTCGATTAATGTTAAAATTATTCAATATTCAATGGTTCTAATTGAACTAATTATTGCATTAGCTTAAATTTTTTATATGTAAAATAAATACTAGTTCATAACACTTCACCGTAAAATGTAATGATGCAGTATTTCTGTTGTTATGATTGCATAATTGATTTCTACAAAATAGAGCTATGTCATAGAAACGAAATAAATAAATTACTACCTACACTATTCACTATATTGTATGATTAATACAATAAATTAATCACTAGCCCAAAAGTAAATATGGTTGGTTTAATGTGAGTAGTGGTAGAATTCTAAGTACTGCAGTAGAATAGAATTGTCATACTATATCAATTGGTAGCAAATTTACTCGTAAGATAAAATGTATGCACAGTTTTATAACAGCTGTAAGACTGTTCATTTAAGTACCGGTATCATTGAAATTGTATAACTTCCATTGAACAGAAATGAGATAAGTAGATATTGATACACAGATATATGAATTTTCATACACTTATAATATGACGAATTCAAAAAAGTTTTATCTGTCAAATGTGCTAAATATTATGTAAACTATCAACTTTTTAAGCTATAATGATGTTACTACAATGGTTAAAAATGTTTCCTGTGAAACAGTGGGAATAATTCGTTTTAAAAGAAATCATTCATCATGGATATAGGAAATAATTAAGATTCTATAATCATTGCCCTATCAACCTAGGCCCTTTTCCTGAGTGTTATGAGGTTTATGTTTTGATTTATTTTTGTGTAAACCGTAATATAATCCCCCTGCCACAGCAAATCTGTAGACTGAATTTTCATTTGCCTGATTATATAATTTCACTAAAATATGTTAGAAAATTAACCTTTTTCCATATTTATTTATATTTTCCTATTTTTCCTATTTGTCGGTATGGAACTATTGTGATAGCTTTTTGTTTACAGTGCAAACCATGGATGTATGGATGGATGGATGGATGTTTGTGACAAGCAAACGCGAAAAATACTAAACCGACAAGGTTGAAATTTGGTATGATGATAGATGACATCCCCGATTAACATATTCTTACCTCAAAAATTCTTTCAGTCTCCGCCCCGGTGGCTCTGGCTCTGGACTTTCTCTAGTTAACCTTATGAGAATTCATATTTAAAAAAAATAAAGAATTTTGTCAGCCGTTTCAACTGTACAAGTTGGTTCTATGATATTAAACAGCATTAAAAAGTTATAAGGCTTGCCAAACAGGGTGCAGCACTATTATGTTGTTTGTTTGCATTAATGACCACAGCTAATTTGAACCAACTAGCAAAAAAAAGTTGTGGTACACAATGAGAACTTTACTTTTTCCATGGTCTAGGTGCAAGAACATCAGGACTATGGTAGATGTGTGCTACACAATAGGATACCGTATAAATTAAGAGACCAGTTTTTTTTTTATCGTGTCCTCTTCCATAACTGCAATAAGCATTTATACTTATATGTCAACCCCGTACGAAGGACGGGTACTCTGCTAGTAACACAATAATACAAATACAGTATACTAATACAATAATACTGTAGGTTTCCGTAGTCTGTGGCCATAGGTTCATCTGAACTGTCAATCAATTCTGAGAAATTCACAGTTGTAAATTCTTACTAGTCTTTTTCTAAGTTCACGTTGCACTCGCAATTAGTTCGCATGTTTTATGTAGGAAAACAGGTATGCCCTAAGTCATAGCATTTGTAGGTTGAGTATAATAATAACAAACATGCTTATCGTAGGTTTGTAGGCATACTTGTTCAAGAATATGCCGTGGTAGGTTTTGTTTATAAATTTTATGTTTTAATTTTTGTCTAATGACGATATTGATTTGTATTAGTGCGAAAATGTTAATTTATTTGTCAAGGGCATGAGCGGCCCTCTAGTCTATGTATGTTACACGAAGCACAACATGAAAAAGAATAAATTAAAGGAAGGTAAAAAACGGATCAGTTGCTGAAGGTCTAAATCTTGGAAGGTCTAATCAGACCTTCGACACATATTTTGCAGTTTGTACTTGATGCTGAGGATCCCAAGAATCCTGTACAAAATAAAAAAATGTTTCATTCAAACTACAATTTTATTACTTTTCCGAGAACCAGCCTTTATCAGGACTTCCGCTCCCACGCGAGTTGGCAACGTCAACTGTGCTATATGAAAACAATAAATCTTGAGTAAATATACTGTAATGTTGAATTTTGAGGTTGTGGTGTTCCTTCGTAAACACATTCCATTATAATCTAGGAATATGTAAATTTATTGTTATACGTTAACTTTATTGATATTTGATTCGCTACAGTACTATTAAACCTATAACATTTTCAATTCATGTGCGTTGTATTTTAGAGTTGGGGAAACAAAAGAACCCTGTGTGCAACTTATTTATATGATACTAGCTGTGTGCCCGTTCTACGCACGGGGATCTTAAAGTAGTCAGTTGAAACCTTCTGATATTAAGAAAAGCAGTTGGTTTGCATATTTTGAGATATGCTGGCAAAACTATTATATATAAACCTTCGCAAATACAGTATCTGACAGTTTCAAGCCAAAACAAATCTATGAGGCATAGCCCTAAGGCCTATAGTTGAAAGTTACCTCCCACGATGGTTAAAGGCATTTAAAGTACTACCTCAACCTTACCATTTAACACTTTATTTGGGTTGACATTTTCATTATCAAGGTGCTCTTGTCCTTTTCGTGACACTGAGAAATAAGGACATACGTGCGTTACCAACAGACATACACACAAAAATACAGAACTTAATTAGGGAATTTGCTACGTTTTAACATAACAAAGTACATATAAAATTAGAATTTGAAATCTTTGTCAATGTCATCAAATTTTATCATAACAATTTATATTTGCTTGGACCGAAGATGACCCGAAATGCTGTCGAAATGACGGCTTACTTTATAAAATGAAGTACTATAGACAATTTAGATTGGTAATGGTAATTTAACCTATAATAAAAATTACCAAAATAGGCCACGAACTATTGATACATAAACAACGTAAATCGTAAACAATTCATGATGGTTTGCTAAACAAATGTTTTACTTAAATGAGTTATCATTTTCTTAGCATAAACTAACATTTTGGAATCCAGACAGAAAAAGCAAAACTTATACAGTTAAGACATCAATTAAATTTAATAAGGCTGTAATACCACTGTATTACTTTTCATTGACTTCTCCAAAGCGTACGACTCGATCACTAGGAGAAAACTCTGGAAAGTAATGGAAAAGTATGGAATACCTAAAAAGTTAATAAATCTATCAAAGTCAACTGTTTCAGGATCTAAATGCAAGGTTAAAGTCAATGGAGAATTCTCAGAGGATTTTGATATAAATACTGGTGTGAGACAAGGAGATGGTTTGTCCCCATTGTTATTCAACCTAGCTCTGGAAGACTCTCTACAAGAATTACAAAAGCTAGAAGCTGGAATTACTATGGGAACCAACATTAATATCCTGGCATTTGCAGATGATGTGGCACTTGTGGCCAAAAACGAAGAAGAACTAAAAGTTATGGTCTCAAAACTCATAAACCACACTAAAAAAGTTGGCTTAAATATCAATGTAGACAAAACCAAGATAATGGAATGTGGAAGAGCTATCCAATTAAATAATAAGAATCATGTAGAAATAGAAGGACACAAATTTTATAAAGTAAACAATTTCTCTTACCTAGGAGTAATGCTGACGAATAATAATGAGGAAGACTCTGAAATTCAGCAAAGATTAAATGCAGCTCATAAAAGTTTATCGGCATGCCACAAATTGTTGAGCTCTCGCCTACTCTCACAGAAAACTAAAATCCGTATATACAAAACTATAATAAGACCAGTATTACTATATGGCTCAGAGAATTGGGTGATAAGCAAGAGAACTGAGAAACGACTTATAGTGTTCGAAAACAAGATTCTAAGGAAAATCTTTGGACCAACCTTTGAAAACGGAGAATGGAGAGTTAAGCACAACAGGGAGTTGAGAGAGTTGTACAGGGACCCAGATATTGTGGCTGAGGTGAGAAGTAGGAGATTGAGATGGGCAGGCCATGTGTTAAGAAAGGAAGAGGGATCCTTAGTGAGAAACGCCCTAAACAACAATCCCGAGGGTAGAAGACCTCCTGGAAGGCCCAAGTTGAGGTGGAGAGATCAAGTGAGAAGAGATCTGAGAAGAATGGGAAGAAGAGAGGATGAAGCAATGGATCGTGCAGTCTGGAGGCAGTGTGTTGGCGAGGCAAAGTACCTCCTTGGGTACCAAGAGCCACGGCAGTAAGTAAGTAAGTAATACCACTGTATAAATAAGGTGCAACACCAACGATAACTAATTTGTAAATTACAGTGATGTGTTGGTACGTAAAAATGATTCTTGCTGCTACCAACGGTTCTAAGGAAAAAAACCAGTACCAAAAACCAACGTTTACAGTTAAGAATTACGTCCGACAAATTAAATGCGTTAATCAAGTCCCAAGGTTATTGATTTCTTGGTTTTGGATTTTCTCGTGAAAGGTTATCGGCAATCAAAATTATTTCCCATTAATTGCTTTATTCGTAAACAACTTTTAATGTAAACTTATTCAGTTTAAAAAAAAAACAACCTTATAAAAACAACTGTTTGTTATTTAATAGATTACGCAGGCCTATTCTCTAAACAATGATTGGTATATCTTTTAACATTAGAATGAAATGTGACAAAAATCACGCAATGCTGGGTTTTTGGACGTTTGTAATTTTATTTCTTAAGTAGGGAGGCCGTGTATTCTAGGGAAAAGTACCGGTAACAAGGATCGTCGTCGAAAAGGTTGTTATGAATAATTGGGTAGGCGTAAGTACCCAAGAGATGGGCTATGGGCCTATTGGCTGTATGGTCCAGCGATTGCATCATACGGTGAGTAGGAACAGAAAGTGACACATTGGAAAAGCGAGTTTAGCATCATCCATAAACCGTAAACCTCTATTACAATCACCCACTGCAGTTGTGATGTTTTACTTTACACTTTACACTTTACACAACCACCATTGAAGCGCCGTCAATTAGTTAGTAAGGTATTGGCGACGATCATTAATAAATTCAACTTTCCCAGCCCTATACAACACTGATTCAAGGTTATCAAAACTCAAGAACAATTTTATACACAAAGAATCTCTGGTTCATAACCTGGATGATGTTATTAAATTTCATTTACGGTTACACTATATTATTCCACTTGCGATTAATTAAATCCGTTATGTAAGACAACGATTTTAATCTCACTTGGATAAATGGGCTTTGCCTTCAAAACGTGATCGGAAATGGTTGTGGTATTTGTAAACATATCAGTGACAGCGAGAAAAAATAATCTTGATCCGAACAGCTGTTTGTTATTTCATATATCATTATGTGATAAAAATTGGACGAAAACTTGAAAAAAATCGCACAAAACTGAATTTTTTAAAGTCCGTAATATTATTTACTAAGTAGTGAGGCCATATTTTAATGGCTAAAGACACTCTCGCCAATCCAGTGAATACATTAAAATGACTTGGATCTTGATAGGTACTCTCGTTTTCCTGGAGAAGATTGCGTAAAATGCAGACGGACAGAAATTTAGATGAGACTTGTTTCGGCTTCTTTAATGTATAAAACGTAAAAATAACCTACAAATGAATTATTCTGAGCAATGTACAGACAAAACTCCAATTTTATTTATATAGATTCTCATTGGTTGCAATTTAATAAGTGGTGTAGCAAAACACAAACACAAAATTTATTGAAATGAAATTAAGTCAATGTTAAGTGAATACTATTAATAAACATATTTGCGACATAAAGACATTTAATTGAAGCCTAAAAACAGTTCGAAAAAGGCATTCTATTCTTTATACTAGTAAAAATTAAAATGAGGGTATAAAAAATAGATCATGTTGATCAATGTACATTCATCTTGTCTTGAAAAAATAAGTATTTAAAAGCTTACTCCAAACATAATGAAGTTGATCGGTTGTTAACAAAATGTCATCATTTTTCAAACCATGTAAACCTTATAGTTTTCCAACTGTTGCCTTGTTTATTTTTTCTTTTTACGTTTTTTTTTTTACTTTATGATGTTTCAATTAATGGTTTAAATATTTATAGTATATATATTTCTGAACAAGAACATATACCCATGTATACATATATATAACTAATAAACGTTCCATAAGCATTTTACACGAGAAAACACTATTCGGCAAGTAGCCGGTCATCGTAACCGGTCATCATTAAGGAGCTTGGACGTCGTGCAACAGCGCTGAGCTATATTGGACGTCGTGCAACAGTCAAATATTTATTGGACGTCGTGCAACTGGCAGCGACTTTGGACGTCGTGCAACACTCCCGCAAATGTAACTTTTTTACAATTCTATAGTGCGCTGTTTCACGACGTCCAAGTGTCACGACGTCCAAAGCTTGTAGAAAGACTATATTTTTGGCAGTTACTGTACTTTTGGACGTCGTGGCACTTGGACGTCGTGCAACAACTCAAAAATTGTGTTTTGGACGTCGTGGCACTGAATACCTAAGAGTCTAGGCAAGAGGAAATTTTGGTGTCCACAGAGCGTTGCATGAGTGGACAATGTGCCTTTGCTGTACAGACAAAAAACGTGTGTATTATTATGCGTTTTGCATATTACAAAAAAAAGTAGATGTGGTTTGTGCCCAGCACGCTTACCGAGTTCAGTCTACCGGCTTGGGCTCCCCTTCCTTCAAGAAAAGCTAACCTCCTTTGTGCATTAGCAAATAACTTTAAAGCCACTTAATAAAGTACTATAGTTAAGGTAAATATTAATTTCCACTTGAAGATTTATCTTACAAAAATTATTTTTTTAGTGTGGCCTTGGTCCGATCGGAATAAAAACAACTTAGTTTGCCTATTTAATGCCTAAAGAATCAGTGTACCAAATTTCAGCCTCCTAGGTAAATGGTAAGTGGGAGAATTAGTGATGAGTGAGTGAGTGAGTGAGTCAGTCAGCGAGGGCTTTGCCTTTTATATATACAGATAAAAGGATGGTACCTTATTAGTTATTTTGTTATAATAAATTAATCATTTGATAAAGTTTGTAGTTTCATTCGGCAACCTGTCACACCAGCATGATAAAAATAAGGTAGAAAATGGAATTTTAGTCACTAGCGCTTTCTGTGACTGGGACTGGCTCACACGACAATGATTTTTTTTAAATGCAAAATTGTTGACAACTGGTCCATAGATGGGACGTCTACTTCAGTATCCAATAGGCAATGGTAGGACGGATAGTATCTTGAAGCCAGGACACTGGCACTACACGAAATCTTTGCACGACGAAATTTACCATAACTCCCAGGTCGTACTTATCGTAATATTCATAATTAAACGTTACGGAACTGCCCGTTCTTGGAGACTAATCGTTTTAGCATAGATAAAACATACTGCTCAAGGAGTATGTTTTATCTATGGTTTTAGTATTTAAGGAACCGGTTAGAGAATTTAGACACCCCATTTAACTCGGTTGGGAATGGGAGTGCCTTGATGGATAACCTCTCGAATTTTGTCAATGATACCCCTAAAGCAAAGACATGCACCAGGCAAATTTCAATCATTAAAGCACTCAACCAAAATGTCAAGTCACTAACATGTCAAGTCTTGTTCGATGCATGGTCGCCATTTCAATTAAAAGTATTAAAGTTTTAAAAGTATCACCATTGACTATATATACCTACATATTACCCACAAACATCCCCTCTATGACATACTTTGCAACTGCCAAGTTATCATTAGTTTTTAACGCAGAACACATTCCCGGACAACATCCTGTCCCCGGAGGCACTTTCCCATGGCGGCTAAAATAAAAGAGGGCTTCAAGTTTTGCATATAAAGTTGATATATATTGTGCAATCAAAAGTAAATGGTTCATTTATTCATACATGATAACACATCTAATACACATAGCTAATATTCACAAATATATGTATAGAGTCAACGCGCTTGATATTATTATCCCCAATACTGTCTTTTGTAGCATTTTCTGGTACTCTTTTGGCGGGTAGCAGACGGAAATGATGTTACGTGTTGTTATGTCGGTTGCTTGGTTGCTTCGTTGCTTCTGCTTGTTTACATAACAACATGGAAATTGGAAAACGTGGGATAACCTCAAACGGCATTGACCCGGTTAATTCGGGTAACAAAAACGAAAAACGATAAAACAAAGAAATTCAAACGCACGCATATTACTTATCAATTGTTTGTTTGATGTATGAACACATCAAGCTGTTTTTCAATGTCTATACGCATAGAAGTAAAGAAAATTGGGCAAAGGGTTGTTCTTCAAAGAAATATTATAATGAAGCTCCACAACAAACCAGTTGGAAGAAACCCAGGTTATAAGGTAACATTTAAGTTAACTAAGTTATGTCAATGAGATGATAAGATTGCTGTGTACTTGAGTATTACTTATACAAATTTAATTAAAACCCCGGTTTATTTAAAATATGCAAACATAGTTTGCAATAGGCCTACAGTAAATTTAATATGTCCAGTAGGCCTAGGTCTGCTGTACTTTTGAAGAAATTTATTCAACACAATGTGTGTTACATAATGTGGAGTTAATAAATAACTAAAACACTCAAGATGAAATAATTGATTTTCGTCCTACCTCATTATTAGCCTACGGTACCTATATTGGTGTTGTGGTGATATTTTTTACCCTTACTTACATGTTGAAAACTTATTAGGCCTACTAAGTTAAATAGTAATGCAAGTACAAATCAATAGAGCTAAGGTTGGTTTCCACTAGGCCTATGACTTTCTAATAATTCACTTTACACAGTTAAAGAAAGAGTTTAGCCTACCAATAGTTATCAGCTATGAATATGTCTGGTGGTATTTGGGATTTTGGGAAGAGAAGAGTCACTCAATAACGACCATTTAGTTACACTATCTGTAAATAATAAACACTAATATTGCCTAATTTAAGCCTACGTTATTTATCATTCATTATTAATTTACAGAGCAGGCCTGGCTAGTATAAAAGTAAATATAGGTGTATCAGATTAGTAGACAAATTCACAAATTATTGAGTCTGCAGGAACATCTAGCCTTTAGAGGGTTTAACCATTAGTACAACTAAAAACTAACATGAACAAGGGCGCACTAGGCTATAATAAACAGTTTTTATCAATGGAAACAAAACAATTCAAACATTCATTTGGTATGAATACTATGTAACTTAAATACTTGATTCCTTCATCTTTGACCAACAAAAGCTGGATAGTTAGCATAAAAAACCTATAACTTAAAAACACCATAAACATAAAAGTTATATACAATTTAAGCTGAACTGATGGATGTGACTTGGATTTTTTTTGGAAAGGCGAGTGGCTCGTCAATCAGTTCTTTGGTCAAGTACATTAGCTTACTGACTAGGCTCTGGTGAAGTGCGAATTTGAATTGTTTTGATTCTAGGGTACGGATGCTTGTCGGTAGCGTGATGAATAATTTTATCGCTAGCGATGGGTATAAATTCAGTGTATGGCTAAGTCGACAGCGGGGTGCATCCAGGTCATAAGCTCTGCGGGTCCCATAGTTGTGCTGTATATTTCTGGTTAAAAAGCCGTTTATGTTTTTTTTCTCTCAGAAGGACTAGGGTGTTCAATGTACACTGAATGTAAACTGTTTAAATGCCAAGTTCTTTGAAAATAGTCCGACAGTGGTCGGTAGGGCCAAAGGATGTTATCAGTCTTAGTGCCTTCTTCTGCAGCAACAGCACACTCTGGGTCGTGTGGCTATGTAATTTAAACATGAAGAAATTAGGCATCACCACATTGGGTTGGATTAACCAATGTATTCCAAAACTTGTTATTACACAATATCTTGATGTAGGTATTTATTAGCCTACCTACTGTAGCTAAGAGAAGAGAGGTATTATTTTATTTGCTCTCGTGGCTGGATATTTTCTAAATCATTCATAAGTTTATCCATAGAGTACGGTATGGAACAATTGCATTTTTAAAAACTGAAATTGTTCGACCACTACAAAAACTCAACAATATTAGATTAAACAGAAAGAAAAAGCATATATAGGCCTAAGTGGAATGGGTGTGTGGGAATCATAAAGTAATTAACTTAAGACAGAGAAGTTTTCTTATTTTTGGCCAATCACGACAAGTTAAAACTGTCTTAACTGGCCAAATAAAAGGATGTCAATTTCTTTACAAACATAACTAGTTAAAAAGAGTGATAACAGTTTAAGTACGAGGCAGCCTTAGGTTACCATCATTCTATGAATATCAAACACCCCCGCCGCAGCAAACCTGCCGACTAAACGAATTTCCATTTGTCTGAATTGATTTTCAACTAAACCTATTTAAATAACATGAGGTTTGATGAGTACCTAGGTTTGCTGCTACAAGGAAACTAATACAGTGTATTTTTTTAGTAAAATATTAATAGCTTAGTATAAAATAAATAAATCTGCCAAGTTTGATAAAAATATATCCATAAACAAGCAAACTACAACAACACTTAACAATATTCTCCATAAGAATAGCCTACCATAGGAATTTTAAATTTACAAATTTTTGATTTTTATCTGTTACCAATAACCGTACAAAAACACTTTGATATACTAAATTATTTGTTTTTTTAAGCTCTTTAAAAAGGTCTAAGTAGAGAAAAATGCTTTGTTTTGAGGGTCAAAATGAAAAATACCCCCGCCGCAGCAAACCTGCAGACTAAGCGAATTTCTATTTGCCTGATTGGATTTACCCTAAAATGTCTCCTTAAAAATATAACATTTATTCCCTATTTAAATAGAATCAGTTTTACACATACTTAGGTTTGCTGCAACAGGGAGGGTAAAAGTGTTTTTTTATGTAAAATGTTAATAGGCCTAGTTAGTAAAAAATAAAAACATTTTCCAAATTTGGGCAAAATATGTTAATAAACAAGCAAACTACAACAGTTTACTTATTCTCCATAAGAATAACATGGGAATTTTAAATTAACAATTTTTTGGAATTTTCTCCGTAACCATTAGGCGCATTATAACGCTTCAATATACTAAATTATTTGTTTTTTTAAGCTCTACAAAATAGTTTGGAAAGAAATTGCAAAATTTTATGTTTTTTGGGTCAAAAATTGGAAAAACCCATTTTTACCCCATAAAAGCCCCCATAAACCCCCGTTCCCATGGTCCGATCATGCTGGTTCGCGAACTCGTTCGAATAAACGCAGGTTTACACGTTTGTACCAAATTTCATCAAAATCGGATCATTTTTGCTCGAGTTATCGCGCTAACGGACACATATATATATATATAAATATATATATAAATATATATATATATATATGAATTTGAACGGATGATGTTTTTGGCCTCTAGGGACCTCAAAACGAAAAAAAAAATCGGTCCCGGGTCCAGGTCTTACTATGAGTACTACGGTAATAGCTTATTCCCTATATGGGAAATTCGCTAAAAAAACAATTTTATACCCCATAAAGGGGTAGCGGATTTCTACCCCCGGATATTTACCCCCATGAAAAAACGCCTACGTCATTTTGACGTCATGAGAGGCGGGGCCTATACACGGTCAAGAAACAGCCCGCGACTGGAAATTTACCCCCAATATATTATTAAATGATTAACATGTAATTGTTTGATTATAAAGTGATTTGCCATAGCACGGAAATCTACCCCCGGACATCCACCCCCCGGACATCTACCCCCAGACATCTACCCCCGGACATCTACCCCCGGAAATCAACGGCTCTTCGGTTAAGCATTGTCTTGTAATATCTAGTATAGAGCATGCGATATGTCATTGTCTTGTTTAATTATCTATCTTCCTAATTCAATAAGCTGTAACAGTCTTTTTCACCCGACCTACTTCGCCGATTGTTACGATTGAGGTGTCATTTTAAAGCTTAAGATCTTGCGCAGAGCAAAATGGTAATTAAAAAGCATATTTTGATTAGGGCTTCAAAAGGTTGACCCTTAAGCCTTTGATTTATTCCTAGAAGGTGCTTCCAATGGTTGACCAACTTCCACACTATACAGTAGGCTAACAGTTTTAAAGGTGAAATGTGAGCAGATTACTAATCAGTTAAATTTTTAAGTCAGGTTGAAGACCAGAATAGATCGTCTGCATCTGTGAACAAGAGATGGAACACTACCCCAAAACGACTTTTCGTTCTCAATTGGCCCTCTATCAATAACCTGTGTTGCCTGTACAGCGAGGCATTTTGAGAAGGAGAAAACCGGCCGGATGAATGCTTTAGGTTTATCAATAACAAAGATAAACATGGTTTTAGTTACACACCGGTAATCTTTGAGTTGACTCATTTAAACTCATTGTAAATATTCATTGTTATTCATTTTGAAATAACTCCTTTAATACTTTGCAATTGCTCGAATTCGAGCAACATGTACACTAGTTACATATTATTGCACTTACGATTTATTTGATCCGTTTATTTACGTGAGTCACAACGTTTATAATCTTACTTGGTTTTATCGGAAATGGTTGAAGTATTTGTAAACAAAATGTAATAACAAATTTCCAGTGACAGCTAGAAAAAATCATCTTTATCCAGCTTTTTATCTTTCACAGCTGTTCGTTATTTCATTGATGTCGTATTCTCCAAACAAATCATTAGTATATCATAAATTACTGGTAAACATTAGGAGTAGCCTAAACTTGACAAAAATGCAAAATATTGGGGGTTTGAACAAAATTTATTTTAATTCAAAAGTAGTGAGGCCATATTTTAATGGCTTAATTTACTCGTGTCAATCCACCGAATCCAAAAAGACTATTTAAATCGAATCTCGATCGATACTCTAGTTTTTGAGAAGAAGGCCACGTAAAATGCCTTCTGGGCCTTGACAGACAAGGCAGAAATAGAGATAAAGACTTGTTTTGGCTTCTATAATGAATAAAACGTAAAAATGACCAAAAATATATAATTTTAAGCAATGTTCATACTACACTCTAATTTCATTAAAATAAATTCGTAAAACCAAAAGAACCATGAGGTAAAAATACCTTCCCTATCCCGAAATATCCAATTTTATTCTTTTACATTATTCTCCATTATTTCACAACCAGCATTGACAACCAGAACCAATCATAAAATGTGTTTATGTTTTATTTTTTACGATTAATTATTCGTGTAAACAACTAGACTTTTTAGCCAATGTAAAACTCCGGATAGTGTCTACAACATAGGGATTATGCTATTGCGTATTACTAGGGAGGTAATTGATAGTGAAAAAATTATTAATTCATTAATCAACCTGTGGCAGGCTTTTTATCAACATTTAATTGCATTTTTACCACAAGTAATCAGAAAATAACCTCCTTCAGTGATATGTTTTAAATTTAACGATCTGCGCTCATACATGTGCCGTTAGCTATGAGTGTATGTGAAAATTGGTTAACCATTTAAATCACTGTCTGAAAATAAATCAAATGCTTATGGGTTAAACTTTTGGAGCCCTTTATCAAAATATCCTTTTTAATTACAATTTGCGTTGCACTGAATTTTAAGCTTAAAAATGACACCTAAATCAGTTACAGCATAATGAATTGGGAAGATAGATGACATTAAACAAGACAACGACATATCACATGCTTAATACTAGATATTAGAGGGTAATTATCAAACAAAGAGCCATTGATTATTTTTATAAACCAATTACTAAAATCAACTACAACAATGAATATTGGCCGATACGTAGTTTAGCAGGGGGGGTAGATTACCGGGGTCAGAAATAAATAATTCCGGGGTCGGACATTTATGATTTGACCACTGGGGTTACATTTCTGGGGGTAGATTTCCGGGGTAGATATCCGGGGGTAGATGTCTGGGGGTAAATGTCCGGGGGTAGATGTCCGGGGGTAGATGTCCGGGGGTAGATGTCCGGGGGTATATGTCTGGGGGTAGATTTCCGGGGGTAGATGTCTGGGGGTAAATGTCCGGGGGTAGATGTCCGGGGGTAGATGTCTGGGGGTAGATGTCCGGGGGTAGATGTCTGGGGGTAGATGTCCGGGGGTAGATTTCCGGGGGTAAAGTTCCGGTATCAGGTTTATTAGCATTTTGATTAATTACAACTGTTAAGTAAACCGTGAAATGCGAGTTGATTGAATATATAATAATTTATCCATCCTAAAAGTTTGCGGTCGGAAATGTACCCCCATACATGTGACGTCAAAGTGACGTAGGCGTTTTTTCATGGGGGTAAATATCCGGGGGTAGAAATCCGGCGACCCCCCATAAACCCCTGCGTAAAACCCCATTCCCATGGTCCGATCATGCTGGTTCGTGAACTCATTCAAGTTTATACTGCCTTACACCTTTAGACCAACTTTCATCAAAATCCGACAAAAATTACCTAAGTTATCGCGTTCACGGACGTATATATATATATACAGGGTGACAAAAAACGGGTGTGGAAACGGCTTAGTATCTTTTTAACTAAATCCGTGAGAAAATTCAAACCTTTCACATTAAATTATATGTATGAAAACTACTTTTTGAAAGCATTACCATTTTTTACCTTCACCAGGGGACGGTACATGAGGAGTAGGTAGCCTACATAATCTTTAATGTAAGTTTTGTTTAAGGAAAGGCTCTAGGCCAGGATTTTAAATTGTAGAAAAAGGAGGATAGCAGCTAGCTTACCTTGAAAATGTGGGTAGGCCATAGAACAAGTAGAAAAACATTTTGCACACAATATTTCGTCCCCTAAGGAAGGAAGACTTGACAAAGTCCCTTAGGGGACGAAATATTGTGTGCACAATGTTTTTCTACTTGTTCTATGGCCTACCCACACTTTCAAGGTAAGCTAGCTGCTATCCTCCTTTTTCTACAATTTAAAATCTTAAATGTAAGCATAGGTTGATATGCACACCATTTTAAAGGGCTGATCAAATGGAGTTCATTGCTGGAAACCGCGTCTCAAAAGGTTCATCCGAACTTCAAACAAACAAACAAACACACAAACTTTCACATTTATAATATTAGTAAGAAGATTTTATTTTGCAAGTTTTCCTTTTTGTGACACAGATAAGTTCTATGAAGGGTAGGGCGTAGCCTAATAATATTGGTTCACATAAAACAATAGATTAACAGAATGTAACTACTTGATTTTGGTTTTTGTTTGGCTTTTAGACGTTGTTACGTAACAAAAGTCTGGTTTAATTGTCATTGTACTATCTTTTAGTAGCTTGTATAAAATAAAAAAATAAAAAAGGGGCACTGTAGCAATAGGGGATAATAGGGGTAACTCCAACAACCATTGCAGTTTTTTTTTCAAATTAAATTACAGGACACATTAAAAAATTCTTATCACAAAGTAACAAATTGTAGGCAATTTAATTTGTATGTTTTGTTTAATTATCTAAGATTGTTGTGTCAAATTAAGATACTGCATCAACCATAAATCTAATTTTTAAAAGGAAGTAGTTATTAAGTTGCTATCAGAAATAGTTTATCTTCTAAATTGAGATTCTTTGCTTTATCACTGATTGGAAACATAAGTTTGTCCAATCTTGGTTGAGAAAGATTTCAATACTGGACAGCCCACTCTTTGATTTAGTTTGATTGGCTTGTGTTAGTAGCTATCCTTGAACCACTTTTTGTTGACTGCAAAAGTTCTCAGTGACATGATTCAAGTTAAAGGAACATAGTTTTATTATATTACGAGCTTTTCTGAGTAAATATACTTAAGTTTTTCAGAGTTTTAATACTTGGAACACAATGTCATCTGGAATTCAGGTATGCAAGTTACAACTCTTATAGTAAAATAATGTCATGCTATGTTACATAATGATATACCATGCTAACTCGTAGTGTAATAACTGATATTTACCAAAACATTGGCATTTTTAAATTTAAGAGACCGGTCAAATCGCTGATCGTTTTACTTACTATCTATTCCAACCCAGCCTTTTGTTACATAACTTCATTAATTGACTGCCAAATCCCAAATGACAAAATGAGATTTGGGTCGAGACCAACTCAAACTTTTAGTTGTAACTTGCTCTTATGTAAATTAGTTCCTATAACACCTTTATAAACCTTTCTTGTTGTTATAATTCAAATATAATTGTGGCCTACAATTCAAGGAAATTCAATCACTACTATACCCCTGGATAAATAATTCATTCCCTCTATCTTTGTAAACCTTACTTAATTTAGAAATATCTAGAAATGAATCTAAGATCTTTCTATATCAATGTGTTAGAAGTATTAACTGGAAGTGTTTCTCTATACAATAAATATGACCTGTTTTGAATAGGTTAAGTAACAAACACTGTAGTCTACCAACACTCTTCAAATACGTTACATGATTGTAAAACTCTAATACAGGTACTGCACACACTTTCAAATGTGTTGACTTTTCTCAAATGTTGGTAACAAAATGTCACACTAAAATCAGGGGTTCTACAAGGCCAGTTTTAGAGTAAGGGTCTTTTTCGATTATCAGTAGTTCGCTTAAGTACGCCACAAAGAGGCTCCTTGCCACTTACTGGCATCATTTGTAAACAGAATGACACCATTTGCAGCTCTGTAGCTGTCATGTACGCTTCGTTGTGTGTTTAAACAAAATTGTAAACCATCCAATCTCCCATTGTGTGTGAGATAAGGTCAGTGATAAGTTTTTTGATTACGAGAAACATAACCGATGCAGCTATTTATCGCCAGATGACTGAAGGCTATAGCCCGAGTGAGGGTAAAGTGCGGAAATGGGTTATACAGTGTAAAAATGGCCGTGAAATCCTTTTCCCTTTGTGGTCATCTGTGAGAATTCTACCCACCAAAAACACAACTCGTTCCAAGATGAACATTTTCACAGCCATTTTTACTCCCTAGTCTATATCTGAACTTTCCTCGCTATCATTGCATCAGGATCATACACTTCTGTCATATGTGGATGAATGCCAGCATCGGATATGCTTCTTGTGATAAATATTTATCACTGACCTTATCTCGCAAGCGGCCTGAGATTGGGTGGTTTAAACAATTTAAAAAACACACAGCGAAGCGTACATCATGTCAGCTGCAGAGATTCAAATAGTGTCATTCTGTTCACAAATGATGTCAGTAAGTGGCGAGGAGCCTCTTTGCGGCATACAAGCGAACTACCAATTCATATATAAAACTGGTCCTTACTTAAAAAACGCCCTCAGTTTTAAAAATCTTGTATTTTACTAACAAAGAAGTAATAGTTAAGGAATAGTTATCAAATTACGGTTGGATGTTATTTTAACAATATGTTTACTCCAAATTTTGGTTTCAGGAGGCTGTAGAAGCTTTGAATTCGTTACAAACAAATGCTCAACTTTTACAAAAATTACGAGCCAACAAGACACTTGGACAGGAAAATAATGTTATCAGAACAAAAAAATATCTTGAAAGGTAACTAGTAAACAAATTTTCACAGTAATCAAGCGTAATTTGTTTTATGCATGTCTATTTTCAAATATTTTATCATCAACAACTCCCCTTTTGGAATACCCGAAAGAATTCATGGACATACATTTGTGCATATAATATTTATAGATATATCTTTATACAATTTATTCATTCCACTGTAGACTCTTAAATAAAAAAAAAATCACCTAAGTACTAACTGAACCAATATAATTTATTATGGCGATCTAAGTGCAACCTTGTCCTAACATTATGAATTTGTTTTAACAAACACACTAAAAGTGACCAAAAGATTGCTTGGCCTGTATTTTATTCCTAAAATATGCATGGTTTTTTATGTACTAAAACATAACAATAATCGGATAAAACTTTTGTTAAAAGAATAACATTATTGTAACCGATCATGTCTGACTAGACTGATCAGGTGTAATATGGAACGTTAATCTCACACTTTTACTTTCAGTTCAACTGGCAAGTAATCATTATTCATAACATAACATAGTCAAGTAGTGTACACGTATTCTCAGTTACCAACCACTCTAAGGATTGCTGAACTTGAGTGAAAACTGCAACCGCAAGGATTTGATACTCCTGTAACAACATAGATGAAATTCCAAAACCGCAGCTATCGAGTTTGAAACTTGTTTAGGGCAGTTAGTTATTAAGTGTACTGGATCGTCAATTGTCTAAGTATTGATTGCAAACAGTAGTAGTTAGATTACAATAAACAATATTTTAAGCTACGGAAACACTTAAAACTAAATATCTACCGCTAATTACCTTTTTCTCAGATCAGGGGTAAGTTTGGACAAGCTGGACCGTGAGCTGTCCGTGATCCATGTATCTGGCACCAAGGGGAAGGGATCCACCTGTGTTATGTGTGAAGCCATCCTCCGTCAGATGGGCTACAAGACAGGCTTCTTCTCCTCTCCGCACTTGGTGGCCGTCCGCGAGCGCATCCGCATCAACCAGGCACCGCTGTCTGAGACGGAGTTCACCAAACACTTCTGGACAGTGTATAACAAGCTTGCTGCCGCTAAGGTACGGTGAAACTGAAGTGGTGTGTTGTGAGATTAGATTCATACGATGCCAATACACCAGGATAACTTATGTATAATAAGGTGAAAATGAATCAAGATTTATTGCAAATTTGTTACTAATTACAGCTAAACCCCTTTAAACTAAACTCCATTTGACTGAAACTGGAAAAAATTAATCTATTAGTCTAAAAAAATTTGTAGACAATCGGAATGGTTGGCCGTGGCGTAGATAGTTGGCTCAGCTTTGACTGAGTCATTCTCAGAAAAAATATATTTAGTGTATATAGTTGTAGATTTTAAGATCTCAGTAATTAAAATAATGTTAAAAATTGATGTTTGTAGACTCCTTTGAATTAAAATAGCAAAATAAATAGGTTATCTAAAACGGTCTGGCTGCCTTTATTATTTTAGGCTCAGGTTTTATGTACTACAAACTATAATCATTACTAAAATGTTTGTATTTTAAATTTTTTCTCAAGATATCATGGGTCTATCATACCCTTCCCCTGGAGCCACAACTACTTTGGAAAATGAAATCAGTCAACAATAATTTGTGACATATAAATTATTGTTGACTTGTTTGGTTTCTATTAAAAATAATTGTCACTAGAGGTCAATTCAAGATGGAGGCTAAACATGCCTCTACAGTACAAGCTCTCAACACTCTAAAACTAATTAATTTCCAATGATTGTGTGCTTTTTGTGCTCACAACATATCAGAGCTTGCAATGGATGGGGGTAAATTTATGTTTAACTATTATATAGAAGCTAACATCGCATGTGAAAAAGACTAATCTACAGATTTTCAAAATTATTCTGTAAATACTTAAATAAACAATTACAAAGTTTCAGTTCATCCAGGGCATAGTTTAAATCTTTGTGAATATTTTACAGTTTATCTCAATTCGATAAACACTTTAATAATGCCACGAGGTTCTTTTTTGTAAGACCATGTTTACGTGGTAACCAGCCGTGGGGGGGGGGGGGCTCTTAATTCAAAACATGATAGGCTAACTAATTATTTTTGCAAATATTTTAGGATGATGAACATGATATGCCATCCTATTTCAAGTTCCTCACAGTAATGGCTTTTAACGTTTTTCTCACGGAGAAAGTCGATGTGGCTATCATCGAAGTTGGAATTGGCGGAGAATATGACTGTACCAATGTTTTCAAGTGAGTTTGATTTGTTAAAATTACAATTATTTTATTTTACTGCATTAATTACATAATCAGTTTGACACACAAAAGCAGTATGTATTAGTTTTATTGCAAATCTATAAAGCAAAGATAGAATAATTTAAGGTGTGTATTGTAAATTTGTCTAAAATTAAATAAGTTTAGGTAAATCTATATAATTAATACGCTACATGAAACTTTGTCGGTTGAATTCCTCCGCCATTTCTAAACCGTTTTTATCCATTGATGTCTCATTGAAAAGAGCGTGTCACGTAGATTTGCAAACTGGCCTTACATTTTTGATAAAGGCCCTTGGGCTCTGCCCCAGTGGCTTTGAAAGTTCCCATGTTATCCTTATGAAGAACATAATTGTTTACATTTTGATCAGCTGTATAATTTAATTGCTGTTATTTATTTTTCAATTCAATGAAATGCGTTGAGCACGTTCATTTTAAAACAATGCTATTTGAGTTTGTGTAAACATAACCCTCAAGACAAGTGTTAGTATGGTTGTATCTTAAATTTGTGTATTTATCGTTGTTTTGTGTCGCTATGACGGATCGTGTTAGCATGATTATAACTTAAATTTGTGCATTTATTGTTCTTTTGTGTAGCTATGATTTGTTTATTTGTTGTTTTTTCATTTAAATGCCTCCGAAGCGACGACAACGAAACATAGACAGGAGGCGTAATCGTGATAACGACCGCAGCTACAGAACAGTGGCGCGTGTAATAGGCTTAACTCATTACAGTCAGCACCTGACCCTGGACAATCTCAACTATTAGGTTACAAATGCGCTCTAACACTACCCCAAAACGACTTTTCGTTCTCAATTGGCCCTCTATCAATGACCTGTGTTGCCTGTACAGCGAGGCATTTTGAGAAGGAGAAAACCGGCCGGAATGCTTTAGGGTTATCAATAACAAGGATAAACATGGTCTGAGTTGCACACCGGTAATCTTTGAGTTGACTCTGTTAAACTCATTGTAAATATGACTGTTATTAGTTTTGAATACTTTGCAAACTCACTCCTGTAATACTTTGCAATTGCTCAAATTCGAGCAACATGTACACTTACTAGTTATTATTATTTTTACTCAAATATAATGGACACATTAGATTCAGTTGCATAAAATCCAGATAGACGTACCATGAACTGAAGCTGTATGGTGCGGTAGGTAGTCTGTGGTTAATGAGGTGCACACCTTTTTCTGGTCGAAAGTAAAGTTGGATTTTTCACCTAAGTATTGCTGAGTAGGTAGCTTTTCCAGATTAAATAATCAGCCTTTTACTGTCTATTCTATGGTGCATATTACATTAATGTAACTCTGCTATGCAAACATGTCCATAGTGTTTATACAGTACCTGTTGTAATGAGGTTAGTTTTTTGGAACAAACCCCACTGGCTTAGAAATAGGCCTACATTCAAACAACTTAATACTTTACTTTGAAATGGCTGCAATACGAATGTAGGTATTTTAAGCCAAGTATGAATGGAGAAGAGTGTAGGATACCTAAGAAAAGAGTTCCAAGTAGTTAAAAGTAGACAAAAAGTTCACAACACAATAAACTTGATATTTCACCCCTACAAGGGACTTCTTCATCCATTCCTTCTTCCTTTATTGTATTTAAGTTGTAGTGGTACTATTGCTAGAATAGGGTAATCTGGCAGTTAGCCTGCCAGGAGTGAACTGAGAAATTATTCAATTTAGAGCAACACAGAGCCATCAGACCTAATTTATTTGCAAGATTACTCTATAAAGACTATAGTGATGTTAAATACTGTGGTTACATCAATCACTAGGAGACCAGCAGTGGTGGGGATATCTTCGCTTGGACTAGACCATACGAGCCTTCTGGGCTCCACCATAGAAGATATTGCTTGGCAGAAAGGAGGAATCATGAAGCCGGGCACTCTGGCATTCACCAGTCCGCAGCCCCCTTCCGCTGCAACCGTGCTGCACCAGCGAGCTGTCGAGAGGAAGGTCTGTAAATCCTCAAGCATTTCATGTAATGTGGCTGTAATTCCACAAACTGCTTTGGTAACAAAAGGTTCAATGTGTTAAAATGTGTTATTATTGGTGGAAATCAGCATACCACTGCATTTCTTAAGGAATCCACCTAACATGAATTTCAGGACAAGTAAGGATGTAACATTGAGCACAAAGGCTTAAGTTTAGAGGATTTTCACTTATCTGGCTTACCTGGATGGGAAAGGGCCCACTTACTCAAGAAGCAGTAAACACACACAAACAGAATTTTTCACTGTCACTCAAATTTAAAACACAGAATGTTTGCGTTGGAAAGAGATACTCAAATTAACTTTCTTTTTTTATAAGTACAGTAGACTCTTGCTTATCCAGATCAACCTTGTCCGGAATCCCGCTAGTCCGGATTGGCAATCATGATTTTTTTTAGTGGCACAGTACAGTAGAAGTCTGATTATCTGAGCTAAACGGGACCGAGACTACCTCGGATGATAAAAAAATCGGATAACACGGCGGTAAAAATTATTACCGGTGGAACTGCATTTGCCGGGCTATCAATACTGTGTACCTGGAACAAAATTGAAAAAACTGCTATATAGGCCTACAGTACTGTATTTGCTCGACTCTCGATAGTTCGGATATTTTCGTAATCAGGACCGGACGTTCGCCGCATTAGTCCGGATGAGCGAGAGTCTACACTGATGCTCGAGACCCTTACCAGAGAGAGAGAGAGAGAAAATTCTTTATTTATTACAAACTGTTTTGCAGCAATAAATACAAAAAATAGAAATATCACATGGGTCACAATGACACCTGTGCGTGATACCACTAGCTCTATTCACCAACCCTGTGATTCGAGCAAAAATTCTTAGCCAGAATTCCAGACAGCCAAAACTTATCTTTTCCTAAATACAAACTGTGTTGATGTGTCGATACAGTGTCCACTGTGGGAGGTGCCACCACTCAGCACCTATGACTGGCAAGGACAGGAGATGAGTGTGGGACTGAGAGGGAGAGTTCAACAGATCAATGCATCACTGGCTCTATAGCTATCATGTAACTGTGTTGATGTGTCTATACGGTGTCCACTGTGGGAGGTGCCACCACTCAGCACCTATGACTGGCAAGGACAGGAGATGAGTGTGGGACTGAGAGGGCGAGTTCAACAGATCAATGCATCACTGGCTCTATAGCTATCATGTAACTGTGTTGATGTGTCTATACGGTGTCCACTGTGGGAGGTGCCACCACTCAGCACCTACGACTGGCAAGGACAGGAGATGAGTGTGGGACTGAGAGGGCGAGTTCAACAGATCAATGCATCACTGGCTCTATAGCTATCATGTAACTGTGTTGATGAGTCTATACAGTGTCCACTGTGGGAGGTGCCACCACTCAGCACCTATGACTGGCAAGGACAGGAGATGAGTGTGGGACTGAGAGGGCGAGTTCAACAGATCAATGCATCACTGGCTCTATAGCTATCATGTAACTGTGTTGATGTGTCTATACAGTGTCCACTGTAGGAGGTGCCACCACTCAGCACCTATGACTGGCAAGGACAGGAGATGAGTGTGGGACTGAGAGGGCGAGTTCAACAGATCAATGCATCACTGGCTCTATAGCTATCATGTAACTGTGTTGATGTGTCTATACAGTGTCCACTGTGGGAGGTGCCACCACTCAGCACCTATGACTGGCAAGGACAGGAGATGAGTGTGGGACTGAGAGGGCGAGTTCAACAGATCAATGCATCACTGGCTCTATAGCTATCATGTAATTGTGTTGATGTGTCTATACAGTGTCCACTGTGGGAGGTGCCACCACTCAGCACCTATGACTGGCAAGGACAGGAGATGAGTGTGGGACTGAGAGGGCGAGTTCAACAGATCAATGCATCACTGGCTCTATAGCTATCATGTAACTGTGTTGATGTGTCTATACAGTGTCCACTGTGGGAGGTGCCACCACTCAGCACCTACGACTGGCAAGGACAGGAGATGAGTGTGGGACTGAGAGGGCGAGTTCAACAGATCAATGCATCACTGGCTCTATAGCTATCATGTAACTGTGTTGATGTGTCTATACAGTGTCCACTGTGGGAGGTGCCACCACTCAGCACCTACGACTGGCAAGGACAGGAGATGAGTGTGGGACTGAGAGGGCGAGTTCAACAGATCAATGCATCACTGGCTCTATAGCTATCATGTAACTGTGTTGATGTGTCTATACAGTGTCCACTGTGGGAGGTGCCACCACTCAGCACCTATGACTGGCAAGGACAGGAGATGAGTGTGGGACTGAGAGGGCGAGTTCAACAGATCAATGCATCACTGGCTCTATAGCTATCATGTAACTGTGTTGATGTGTCTATACAGTGTCCACTGTGGGAGGTGCCACCACTCAGCACCTATGACTGGCAAGGACAGGAGATGAGTGTGGGACTGAGAGGGCGAGTTCAACAGATCAATGCATCACTGGCTCTATAGCTATCATGTAACTGTGTCGATGTGTCGATACAGTGTCCACTGTGGGAGGTGCCACCACTCAGCACCTATGACTGGCAAGGACAGGAGATGAGTGTGGGACTGAGAGGGCGAGTTCAACAGATCAATGCATCACTGGCTCTATAGCTATCATGTAACTGTGTCGATGTGTCGATACAGTGTCCACTGTGGGAGGTGCCACCACTCAGCACCTATGACTGGCAAGGACAGGAGATGAGTGTGGGACTGAGAGGGCGAGTTCAACAGATCAATGCATCACTGGCTCTATAGCTATCATGTAACTGTGTTGATGTGTCTATACAGTGTCCACTGTGGGAGGTGCCACCACTCAGCACCTATGACTGGCAAGGACAGGAGATGAGTGTGGGACTGAGAGGGCGAGTTCAACAGATCAATGCATCACTGGCTCTATAGCTATCATGTAACTGTGTTGATGTGTCTATACAGTGTCCACTGTGGGAGGTGCCACCACTCAGCACCTATGACTGGCAAGGACAGGAGATGAGTGTGGGACTGAGAGGGCGAGTTCAACAGATCAATGCATCACTGGCTCTATAGCTATCATGTAACTGTGTCGATGTGTCTATACAGTGTCCACTGTAGGAGGTGCCACCACTCAGCACCTATGACTGGCAAGGACAGGAGATGAGTGTGGGACTGAGAGGGCGAGTTCAACAGATCAATGCATCACTGGCTCTATAGCTATCATGTAACTGTGTTGATGTGTCTATACAGTGTCCACTGTGGGAGGTGCCACCACTCAGCACCTATGACTGGCAAGGACAGGAGATGAGTGTGGGACTGAGAGGGCGAGTTCAACAGATCAATGCATCACTGGCTCTATAGCTATCATGTAACTGTGTTGATGTGTCGATACAGTGTCCACTGTGGGAGGTGCCACCACTCAGCACCTATGACTGGCAAGGACAGGAGATGAGTGTGGGACTGAGAGGGCGAGTTCAACAGATCAATGCATCACTGGCTCTATAGCTATCATGTAACTGTGTTGATGTGTCTATACAGTGTCCACTGTGGGAGGTGCCACCACTCAGCACCTATGACTGGCAAGGACAGGAGATGAGTGTGGGACTGAGAGGGCGAGTTCAACAGATCAATGCATCACTGGCTCTATAGCTATCATGTAACTGTGTTGATGTGTCTATACAGTGTCCACTGTGGGAGGTGCCACCACTCAGCACCTATGACTGGCAAGGACAGGAGATGAGTGTGGGACTGAGAGGGCGAGTTCAACAGATCAATGCATCACTGGCTCTATAGCTATCATGTAACTGTGTCGATGTGTCGATACAGTGTCCACTGTGGGAGGTGCCACCACTCAGCACCTATGACTGGCAAGGACAGGAGATGAGTGTGGGACTGAGAGGGCGAGTTCAACAGATCAATGCATCACTGGCTCTATAGCTATCATGTAACTGTGTTGATGTGTCTATACAGTGTCCACTGTGGGAGGTGCCACCACTCAGCACCTATGACTGGCAAGGACAGGAGATGAGTGTGGGACTGAGAGGGCGAGTTCAACAGATCAATGCATCACTGGCTCTGCAGCTAGCTAATGCTTGGCAGAACAGAAACGTGTTTGGTAAGCTTTAGTCGCTGTATATTGCATTTCAAAATGCTCATAAACATGAAGTTTGAAGTTATAAATAATTTAGTGCATCAGTTTATATATAAGTTTTTTAGGCAGAGGGAAGAGGAAGTCTTTTTTAGGTTTTTTTCTGTTTTGTAGCATAAGAATTTGTATTCAATGTTCTTAACCTGAAAAGTGAAAATATACTGATTAAATTTCTTATCCACTAAACCAAATGCAGCAGTGTTCCATTGCAAAAACTTAACCTTAAATCTCCTAATGTATACGCTGTAGGTCCTAATTTGAACAAATATCACAACATTTCAAAAGGCTCAAGATCTAAAATTTGTGCTCTTTTCTTGGTTTAATCATAGACTAACCAACACAAGTAGACTTCTCATCCCATTGTAAATTTTGAAGCACGTTTTTTGTGTCTAGTTCATGTACGTGACACTGGGCGCTAGTGTCGACGAAACTTTGTTTCTATTATTTTGGGGTTAATTTCTTGATTTTTACTACTTTACTGTTTGGTTCTATAAATAACTAGGGGACAAGTTATTGTTTATGATTTGATCGTATTATTTGGCTAAACGAGGTTTTAAATGGCTGTAATAACGGGAAACAAATTGTAAACAAAACACGACCTCTACATAAACCGTACAGAACTAACAATAAAATTGTCTTCAGCTATTCCATAAGGATGAGAAATCTACTAAGGGAGTATGTTTTATCTATGGTTTAATATTTGGTGTTATTATTTCTTCCCTGAGACAAAATCGTTGGTGAACGAATGAAAGTGTTTTGTCTATTTGGACATGGTTGTTACTTGTGTAGTGAGCTGACAGATCTATCAGCTGACAGATGTTTTAAATAGTTTTATTGAATTTTGGTTGCTAAGAGGAGAAAAATAAACAAAGGGACATTCTTTTAGGCTTTTCCAACAAAAGTGGTTCAACCTTCTCGATAATAGTGAAGCTACATAAGGCTCAAAAGAGTTAACCCAATAGACCTTCCAAATCGTTTTTAGTTAAACTTTTTAAAATTTTTTGTATGTTAGTGCACTTGATGGAGTGTAACTAACCCATGATAAAATGATTATTAAATTTACTTATTGTTCTAGTATAGAATAGATTGTAAATAAATACTTGTAAAAAAAAAAAATTATTTGCTCTAAACAGTTAATTGTTAATTACTTTTAAAAGTAGGTATGATAAATTAAACAATAATATTTAGTGGAAACCTCTAGACTCTTATTTAAGGTATTTCTCCTATTTAAATGAGGTTCTTTTCACTAAACTTGGATAATCTATATACTGTACTATTCTTATCTTTCTTTAATTTTTTTTTTGTACTTCTTAATTCCTGAAAATTCACTCTCTCATTTTAAGCGAATCGCTCATCAACTTAGTTATTTAATTTAATTAATCCTAATTGTGTGTCAGACAAAAGTAAAGCTGGCTATGTGGGTGTGGCCAAGGCATTCCCAGTCAGCCATCCAGTGGCAGAGGGGCTGAAACACTGTTCATGGCCGGGCCGATACCAGATACTGACGAGGAAGTCTATCCACGGCACTTGCACTTACTACCTGGACGGGGCTCACACCATGGAGAGCATAGAACTGTGTGCTCAGTGGTTTCATCAAGCAACCAATAATATTGTTTCTAGGTGAGTAAATACTTGTAATGTGTCTTGCAGTGTTAGCTGAACAGGATTCAAGGGAGCGAGCTGGTGTAGTGGTTAGAGCGCGGGACTTTGTTCCCGGGTTCAAATCCCGCCATTCACAATGGATTTTATCTAAGTGATTCTGCCGCAACCCCTAGGTCTAGCCTGAAGTAATGTGAAAAACAATCCCAGGCTCGTGCCTAGCGTCCTAGAAAAAAAAAACTGAACAGGACTAACAAAATCGTCATATTGATTTCCCTCAACTTTCAGTTGCACAACAGTGCAGTAATAGTTAAAGTGCATTAAAAGACCTAGTTTGTTACTTATCATTATTCTAACCCAAATAAGGCTGTAAGAGTAATTAAGAAGTTTGGGTATTCAATAATCTTTTTTTATAATGTCTATTACGGTACTGATAAGTGTGAATGCTCAATAAAGGAATACTCAGCAAGACCTCGTTAGTAAATTTTAATTTTTTTTAGTTTATAGTTTAAATTTAGTATTATTTTTGGTTACTAGGCACTCAGCAGTCGCATTATCGTTTAGAGAGTTGACTCTATAACATGCATTACGTCCCAGTATTTTAACTATGTTTGGTTTTCAGGGGTGAGTGCCGCCACACCCTCATCTACAATGTAACGGGTGACAGAGATGCCTCGGAGCTGTTGTCTCCTCTTGTCTCTTGTCACTTTGACAGTGCCTTGTTCTGTCCCAATGTTCTCTCCTGTGACACCAAGGCTGCAGGTAACAGTTAAACATTAACATTACGTATCATTTATAACAGGGACGGGTGGCGTCGTCCTGTAATCCAGCTACTAGGAGATTACGAATTGTGGATATTTTTAGGCATGCACTGTGGATGCGATTCTCCCTGGTGTGGATTAATGTCCGCACGATTGAGTACTACGACTATCCGCAGAACTATCCTGAAAATTAGACCAATTCGTATATTTTGCCTTTTCAAGGCAAAATGTGGTCCGGATTCCACTATCAACTGTAGGTCCCTTAGTTGCCATTAGCTGTATGGGCTATTAATTAACAGGTGTGTCTAAGGAATAAGTCGGCCTTAGTCGCTAACAAGACTACAAGATCGCACCACTCATCCTACACTCGTCTCCATTCACTTAGCTTAAAATACCTACTTTGTATGGTCACCATTTCATTGAAAAGTATTAAAGTATTTTGAATATTTAAAGATTACAACACTGAGAGTGAGCAATATAATTTAGAAGTACTGTAGACTATACTAAATTCAATACATAATGTTAATTTGTGACTTTTAGTTGCAAACTGGGAAGATGTCTGGATGACTTTGAGATATAAATCCGAACTCATTATTGCTGCTTTTTTTCTAGTATAAACTGATTGTCTACCCACCTAAAGCACAGTTTAGCTGCTTCCCAGTGTTTATTAATCAAATATAACTTTGATGTATTGGTTTGGTTTTCAGATTTGACCAATCACATGGTTACGTCAAGACAGCAGCTGGACCGATGTGAGGAGAACAAGAAAACTTGGCTGGGTCTTGAGAGACAAACCAATGTCTTTGCTAATGAGGTAAGAAAACATGTTAGAAGAGTTTATGCCACTACAAACTTTAATTGGTTTTCTGTCTTTCAACCTGCAGAATTTTGACAAAATATATGAAAAATAAAGTTAAAGGTACATGTTTAAGTATTTTATTATTAGGTTTATACTTTATTGTCTCAAACTAGCTCCTGTTGTGGCTAAAAAATGAGTACGACTATCCGCAGTACATACTATCCTGATAATTAGACCAATTCGTATATACCAATGGCAAAAATGTGGTTCGGATTCCACTATAAACTGTAGGTCCTTTAGTTGCCATTAGCTGTATGGGCTATTAATTAAATGAAATGAAATGAAATGAAAAATCCTTTATTTTTTCAGGCAAAGTTAGGGCCACATGGCCCTTTCTTACACTTAACCTGACATTAAAAATATAACATAAATAATGTGACATAGGGATGACTTAATCTAATTAAACATAAAATATTTAACAATTCAAGTACCTACATATCTAAAAAAAAAACATAAAAATTTAACAAATAGAAAAACACATTCACACACTCTCGCATACACGCATCAGCAAACGCGCTAGGTAACAGTAGCCCTAGGACACGCCAGCCGAGACCATCTTCTCAAAATAGAGCTTTTTCAGTGCCGCCACAAACTGGGAACGTTTTTCAAGGGTCTTAATGTGTAGGGGGGTAGGCCGTTCCACAGACGACAAGCGGTAACAACAAAAGCCCTGCCATAAGCTGTGGTCACATGATGAGGTATACGCAATGTGATCGAAGAATAACGAGACATTCGTGAACTACCCTGAGACACAAATTTAAAATCGGATTTGAAATATTTTGGGGAGCCTGTTTTCAAAATTGAAAACACCAATGACAAAATTTTAACATTAATTAACAGCTGTGTCTAAGGAATATTTCGGCCTTAGTCACTAACAAGGCTACAAGATCCCGCCACTCATCTCCATTCATACTTGGCTTAAAATACCTACTTTGTATGGTCGCCATTTCATTGAAAAGTATAAGTATAAGTAAGTATAAACAAGCTTGCACTGTGTTCTTGGAGTTTCCTGAAGACCTTAAATGTAAATGCATAATTTAAATAAAGTAATGATCGGGAATATAGCATAGTTTCACTTGTTCTACACTTTAGTGAAGAAGTCGCTGGCTCTATTTTGCCTTTTTTACTTATTTTTTAAGAGAATGGGAGTTCTTCTGAGTCTAGTCTAGAGTAGAAATCAAGATGTAAGAACCGGAAGTAACCTAACCTCTAGGGGCTAACCTTGCTGTCTCTACACACCAAAAGCCTCACAACGTTCCGATTAACCGACCCTGAGATACATGTTAGACTTTTCAATAAATTTAAAACAGTGTGCTTTATCCATTCAATAATATTTTAAAAGAATCTGTTCACATTACACTATTTACACACTATTTATGTATGTTATATGCTACTTACAAATAAAGATTATTTGGATTTGGATTAATTTAGTTACTGTACTTCTGTTGTTCGAGTTGTTTTTAAAAGCAAGCTATTGTGATTTCGTAACCAAGAAGCCTATCCTTTGTTGTCATCAAAATTAGTAATTTTAGAATTTTTTTAAGCGAGCAGTTATTATTATTTGATACCCTAAAAGGCAACACAACATTGTATTGCACTTACCCTTTATATTTGCTACTAGTAGTGAGGCAAAAAGTATCGTATTTTATCTCACCCTAGAAGGTGTTAACGGTACTCCCATGTTTTTTCTGTCCCACCTTTATATCTTATGACGCTAGTTTTAGACCTGAACTGTTTTACTACTTCAGGTTAGTCCTAGAAGGTTGCGGCATTATCATATCATAGATCCATCGGTGATTGGCAGGATATGAATCCGGGACCTTGGGCACCGAAGCCCCACACTCTACCACTAGACTGGCTCGCTCCCCACTCCCATGAAAGTAAGCTATGCTTGTACCATAAAAACCTACTTCCCGGCCTTGTAGCGTAATATACTGTTACTTCTCAAGTTTCAATAATGTTTAAGGTAAAGACTTTTGGATCAGTGGCAGCCACATTGAAGCACATCGAGAGTCAGCCGGGAGACCATCAAGTGTTGGTGACGGGCTCACTGCACCTCATAGGAACAGTTCTGAGTGCTCTAGACCCAGACTTGAACAGCTTCTCTGCACAACCCATCAGATAACGGGTCTATCTCAACATAGGAACAAGCATGTTTGCTTATCAAAACTTTGGTAAGGAATTATCTTTTCCTACAGTTACCTAACAATGTACATGTTCTCTCACTGATTTGAGAAAGCAAAGTGGCCAATTCGCTCATCAGTGAGACAATGTTAACATTGTCTCACTCTAATTACTTTGTCTCACTCCAGATTTGCAACGTGAAGGCACGAAATAGTGAGCGCGTAACATGCAGGCAACGTCGTATGCGCGCGAAATACGTTGGCAGCACTGGCTGTAAATCAGCTGGTCAGCTGTTGTAACTGTTGTATTTGTCACTTCACATTAAATGTTATATTAAAAGTTCACTTCTGTGTAAAAATAGGTTATGTTTCTTCACCAATTTATTTGTTTTATGGTAACTGTAGGAAAAGTATAATGTGCAACTCGAGTTCAAAGTACAATTGCCTCACTCGAGAAACCATTCCTCACTCGCCTACGGCTCGTGAGTAAGGATTTCTCTCGAGTGAGTCAATTGCTCACTTTTCTCACTAGTTGCACAAATAACTATTTCCTACCACTGCATGGAAATGATCACATTGCCACAGCTGTAAACAGTACGCAAAACAGCTCATTTACCGGGAATAGATAATTCCTGCTCGCTAAACCAGCTGAATTTAACAGTTAGTGTTTCTACACCAACCACAGCCGTGGGTCTGGTGACTGGTACGTTAGCAACCGGCAAGCAAGTAAGATAACCTAAAAAACAAACTTAACCTATTGACATTTTATATACAGCTAAAAAGCTAATCTGCAAGTTTTGATAAGTTAATTATTATGGTGGTAGGAAAAATCTTGTGTGTATTACGAGCACAAATAGTCATTGCCACTCTCGAAATGTATGGCCGCACTCAGCTAAGGCTTCAAGCGGCCATGATGTACTTTGGGCTCTTAATACACAAATAGCTATTTCATACAGTTACCTAACAAAACCGCTATTTTCGCACTGTCACAAAAAAAAAAAAAAAAAAAATGGTTTGTATACATGTTCACTTTTGCCACATTCCAGATTTTTAACCTAAAAAACAAAATTGTAAGCCTTTCATAGCCAGGTGAGTTTGTGTATGCGTGAAAAGAAGTTGATAAACAAATGCCCCACAAATTGTAAATGCTCAAAAAGGGTCACCAGAATTAATTGTACACCCCCTCAAAAATAGTAGACAGAATCAGTCCAAAATAGTTTGTTAGGCCTAGCCAATGAACCCAAACAAGAATATTAGAACAAGTATCATCTGTTTCCTCGTGGGTGCACAAGAAAGTTAAAACACGCTCTTAAAAATGTATATTAGGTATTTTTTTATGGTAACTGTAGTAAAATTTTGTTATGTGTAATCCATGCTTGCCCCTTGCTACACTCAAGAAATTATTCCATGTGATTCAGGCAAGTAAATGTTTCTCTTGAATAGATAAGAGTCACTTTGCTCACCAGTGTTAGACAAGTTACTATTTAGGTTGTTGTTGTCCTGTACAACTCTGTCTTTGAATGTTTCTCTCTTTACCGATCCTATAAGATAGTTCATTTTACACTTTACTTTGGGAGTGATTGTAATCATTATGTTCATTTGAGGTCCACCACCACCAAGAATATGTTATTTTCTAACATACGTTACGTTACAGGAAGAATATTGTGCCAGAGATTAATTAATTAATGTATCAACAGCAACGTGTATTGTTAGTTGCTAACGCAATCCGGATGTGATAGGATCTGTATTTGCTGCCACTTTGTTAAGTATTTGTAGAAAAATTGTGTTTTGTGTTCAAATGTAAATGTACCTTATTTTGTCTAGGGGTACACATAAGCCATATATGTGTAAATCTTTATACCGGTGTAATGTAATTACCAAAATCATGTTATATTTAATTTTAGCTAGCATTTATCGAGATGAATGTATTTTAGTTACTTTTTGCCTGCTTATCTGAGAAAATGGTGTATATGAAAAAAATTGCTCATGATGACTGATTTTTTGTCTTAACACGTTCGCTACTGCAATAGTACGAAATTTTCCATTCACATGGACCAGCGACGCACATATGCGACGGCCATGCGTCGGCTAGTCACATTAAAACAGACTGCCGACGCATATTTGCGTCGGGGTTCTAATGTTATTAAAATGCTTATATCTTTGTAGTGGTCTATTTGAAGGCACTGAATTCCCAGCAGTGGTCTACAGAGATGTCTGACGCACAACTGCGTCGCTTGGTCTGTGGATATGATGATTGGTGACGTCATATAATAGTTGGAAAAACTGGTATTTACTTCTCTGCATCACTGTATGTATTTATGCAGTATGTATGCTGCATTATCCTGTGTAGCTTTTATATTTGTTCAGTTATAAACTGTTCTTGAATAATCTGTTTATTTTTTTACTTACTTTCACTTTAAAACACAAAAAATGAACTGTCGCATATATGCGACGTTTGGTCTATTTTAATAAAACTATGATAATTTTCACTATTGTCTTCGCTGTAGACCGGGCGTCGCAAATATGCGACATTACAAAAGGTTATAAAAAATACAAAAAAAATAAGAATAATTTATTTACAAACACGATTGTAGCGTATTACAATGTAAATTATCACTGTTTTACAGGTTTTCGCCCGTGGTCCGTGTGTACTGTTATCCAAGTGACAGCCGGTCTATGTGTAAGATTCAAATGTATACCTCGGTCTGTGGCAATGACCGCGGCGTCGCATATATGCGACGCTCAGTAGCGAACGTGTTAATGAACATGAACATTATCGGAAAGTGGATTCATGCACAAGTGTCCTGTTGTGCAGAGGTCTGCGGTTTGCACATGCCATGCTATGGGCCCGGGAGATTGTTGCACCCCCTTTTTTGTGGGGGAATTTTTTCTTCCTGGTGCCCCTAACAAACCTAAAACCCCTCTCAGGGGCCTGGGCTGATTTAGTAAAGCAGGCAGGGTTGTATAGCTAAAAGTCCTGGACTTAACTGTCACAGGCAAGCTTTCTTAACTCTACTTTCCTCAAAAACCTCCTTGAAACTACTAAAAAATCTGTCTTCAGAAATATTGTCTATGTAGTTTATGTTCGTGTACTATTGCTGTTTCTCATTAAGGACCAATGGTATCCATACCAATAAAAAACATTATTTTGGCTGTGAATTTATTATATGTTTATAAAATATTATTTTGTGATTAACCTTTTGGCGCCTCATGCAATACTTAATCTGTCCAAACAAAAATTTTGTAGTTTTTTAAATAAAAATTTGTTAAGTGTTAAATATTCTTTTATTTTCCTGTTGTTAACATCTGCTTGTTGAAAATGTGAACTGTTTCCTAGCCTGCTATGATGTGCTAGCCTTTTATGAACCCATTTCCGTTAATATTGACAATCTACCATTGTTAAATTCAGATCCAGGTTGTGTACTTGGTTGATTAAAGTCCCTGGAACCAACTTTTATTTTCACTTATTTGTGAACTGATCTTTTCCATGGGTAAGAATATTGGATATTGGTTTTGACATGTGAGTGTATCTTTTTGAGATTTTAAATTATTTATTTTAAAGAGGTTTCAATTTCAATACATTTTATTGCTTCACTTTTCACCATTGAATGTTTCATTTTTGCCTTGGTTTTTATTTTATTCAAAAAGTTGTCCTTTGTCAACTGTTTTAGGTAGTTTTTCCCTACAATATTTATTGCTTGCCTCAAATTATTTTGATCTATTTCACCATCCAAACCAACTAACTAGAATGGAGAGGAGAAAAAAGCTAGCAATTAAAAGCAATAACAAAGATTTAATGCCATGAAGCAATCTTAAGTTATTAGTAACCCATAAACTTAGCTTAACTGAACCTTAAAAAATAATTTTATTGCTCCCTGTGAAACAAGCACTTACTGGTCAAAAAGTCACAAGTAACAGTAAAACATTACAATTTTAAAACTTAAAAACAAGTGAAAAAGCTCCTTGTGTGATGATAAAATCTATCGATGATTTCTTAATCTAATAAGTGACAAGTAAAAAATATAACCATTGCGTGAAATAGCGATAATAAATTACTAAATGAATGATTGTTCTCTAGCGTTAGTAAAACAACAATTACTTTGGCTTTCCTCAATTTTGTGTAACATTTATACACTAGGATTCAATAAATAAACATATAAACCTCTAGAAAACAAATAGAAACCATTTCACATTTTGATGTCATAGATATTTTGTTATAATTCTCTGAACAAATATATACTACGCTAAATATAACCTACACATGTATGATATAAATAATACTCTGAAAATTCAATATATATATAGTCAAAAAGGCAGAAGCGAAGCTTAGTTCTGGAAGAGAGTTCGAGTGAACTCGATGTAGTCGAGTGCTCCTGTGATTGGTCTCTCTGTCTTGGGGTCGACGAAGGGCTTCATCCTTGCGACACAGTAGTCCGCCATCTCCTTGGTGAGGTTCTGAATGGTAAACACACAATTGTCAGTACTAGGTACTTATTACTGTAAATTATGTTGGTAAAACAATGACTCGGGAATTTGATGAGTTCAACCTTAATTTTAACAATGCACTAAAAATAGAGAATCCTTAAGTAGAGTATAGTTTTTTTTAGGCGAAGTAAACATTTTCCTGTATTAAAATACCTAATGCCAGGGTCAAAAGATACATTTTTGTTAAGATTTTAAGTTGAGGGTTCAATACTGACTCGAGACACTTTTTTAACACTAGAGGTTAGTGAATGTTGTTTACCGCATAGAGTTCCTCCTTGGTGACGTAAGGTCGGTCACCAGCTGTGATGGCGCGGAAGGCGTTCTCAATCTCCTCGGAGCTCTGCACATTCTCCGTCTCCTTGCTGATCATGAAGGCCATGTACTCCTGCAGTGACACGTAGCCGTCTCGGTTGGGGTCAACAACATCTGAAAATGAAATTAAAATTACAATAATGGGTGTGACAGTTTTATGTACATATTCCACTCCCAAAGGAAAAGCTATTACTTTTAATTGTGGAATAAAAAAAATCTTACAATATTGGGTTTCCCAATTTTTGCAGTTGCATATATAGTTACATATATCTTCTATATTTTATATTCTACTTGCAAATTGATTGAAACACTCACAAAATTCATT